GGACTGCTTTGGGCTTCTTTTTCAATGCCAACCTCCTCCTGCTTATGCTTCCTATCTCTGCCCCTATATCTTATCTCTCTTGGATGGGGGTTGAAGAGGGAGGAAAAATTTAAATGGTTTTTCGTGCATCATTCCCATGGCTATAACTGGATTCTTCAGCTCTTTCTGGGGAATCAGTAGTATTTGCTGGGCTTTGGGGGATAAAATGGTTTAGAAGCAGCTTTTTGTCAAGTGTGGACCAGTCAGCCAAGAGCAGAGAGGTAGGGAGTCACCAAAGGGGTGACACAGCCTGGTCCATGATTTCTCAAAGGCCATGTTAAATGCAGCCACCTCCCAATCATTTGTGACTGTGGCCAGCTCTTACGAGAAACTTCAGGACAAGAAGCCTTAGCTCCACATTATCCGGTGGATAATAAAGCTTCAGTCACAGAGTTGTCATGAGGACTGCAACACAGCAAATATATAGAAGTTGTTCCTCACAACTGGTGCTCAAAAGACTGCCTTCCCCTGGTCGATGTTGAAAGGCAATCTTTTTCTGACTGAATTAAAGATCAAAGTCAGATATCTGAGATTTGGCTGGACTTATCTCCCAGTGGTTCAGGTGTGTTTAGAGTTTCCAGGATCTACGGGGAACCCCAGTGACTTGCTATGAGCAAGGCTGAGGATGCAGGCAGGACAGGTAATACTCACAGGCCCTCTTTCCCTTCCCGAGCCTCCGGCTGCCCCCAGTTCCCTGGTTAGCAGAAAGGTCACCCTGTAAGCCAACAGACTCCTAATGGCCATTGGTGATGTCCTTGGAGCTGTGGTCCAGAAAGTACCTTTCCATCTTCCTCCATTGCCCACCAGTCAAACAGCCAGCTCCCAAGTGAGTTTGTACCCACTTCCCATGCTGGGTTCTGAGAGGTGGGAAAAATCCTCTACTCGTTCTGGTTTCATGAAAAAGGACTCATTCAGTATGGCACTCCTCGGCTCTCACCACGGTCCTCTGTCTTGCTGAGGAGCAAAGGACTTAGTGATTTTGAAGAAATAGTTGGATATCACAGTGGCCCCAGCTGGGTTCACCTTGCATTCTGTGTTCTGAGCTGCGCCCTCTGCAGTGTGCTGGGTCTCTGGAGTGGTCTTGCTGTGTGCAGGTGGAAGTAGATCAAAAGATAACTTTTTTTTTTAAGATAACTTTCTATTTTATTTTATTTTAGAAATTTTTCTTTGGGTGGTGCTGGGGATTGAACCCAGGGTCTTATGCATGCCAAGCAACAGCTCTGCTATTGAACCACATCCCCAACCTCTCAACAATAATTTCCAAAGGAGTCGAAAACATTATTTTCATGGTTGGAGACGTAGTTCAGTGGTACAGTGCTTGCCCACCATGTGAAAGGCCCTAAGTTCAATGCCTAGTACTGAAAAAAAAATTACTTCCAGACAAATATGAAATAAATATGCACCAAAGGTTCTAATTAGACCACTAAACCCATAGTATGTTAAAGCTTGTTTTTTAGAGGGGCTGATGAACAGATTTACATAGTTAACCAGAAAAGAACTGCAGAAATAAAATTAGATGAAAAACAAGTCAGTATCTTACACAACAATGAAGTTTCAGCCTTTCAAGTATCTTCTCTACTAAACAGAAATCCATTTCTACCAGACAAAAATCTACAGATTAGCATGTAATATTAATGATCATTCATGAATCTGACTCTTAATACACAAGGTGCTGCGAAGTCAGGTAAGGGTTCATTTCTCTTAGAGAAGGAAAAATACACATAAGTATGTTAGACAATTCTTCAGTATAACTTGGAGAGACAGCAGTCATTTCTCTGAATATTTCCATATTTTTGAGTAATTTCATTTATTCATATACTTATTTTTTGAAAGAGGATGTCACTGTACAGCTCAGGGTGGCCCTGGACTTGCGATCTTCTTGCCTCAGTTGAGATCCCAAGTGTGTTCAAGCATGCGCAGCTCACTTTTGGATAATTCTTGACAGGGATAAATGCAGTAGCAGAGGGAGGGAATATTAACAAGCACATTTAAATATTTTGTTGAGGGTTCGGGATTTATCTCAGTTGGCTCAACCACTTGCCTGGTAAGTGTGAGGTCATGAGTTCAATCCCTGGTACCAATAAATAAATAAATAAATACATAAATAAATATTTTGTTGAAATCGTCTCTCTGCTGTCCCTGCCCCTGCTGTGTGGGTAGAGGAAAGAGGGGTGCTATTTAGTTATTTACTGAGCCTCTCATGTCCCAGTAGGAATGGGCATCTTCTGGTAGAGCCTGCCCTTGGACGGGGGCGGCCTGTGACCGCTGCTGTGCACTCTGCCTGCTGGCACCCAGTTTGGTCAGGGGTGGCCCTGCTGCCTTTACCCTGCTGGTTCAGGGGACCCATCAATTCATCTCTCAGATTATGAACACATGGGAGGAAGCAGACTATTTATTTTTTGCTATAAATTTGCCGAGACGCCAGTTTAATAAACAAAATAAATATCTCTTCTCAGCATTTTCTCCCATTATGAATATGTATGAGCTCTCAGAAGTTTGGGAAGAAACAGGCTTCTGGGGACAGCTTTTGGATTTAGAGCCTCATAGGCAGAGAATACCAGGAGGCCTGCAAGCTTTATACCTCAATTTCCCCATCTCCATGTCCTCACACTGGACCTCCGAAGAGCTTGGGAGGACAGGGATGGGGCGAATAGCCACAATCATGCAATCAGTCGTGAACACTTGTGAGTGCCTACTGCTTGATAGTCACTGAGGCGGAGACCGATGTCACAAAAATGACCAAGATGTGTAGTTTTAGTCCCTCACAAGTTCATGGTCTCCTAGGAGAAAAAAATCTATGAACAAGAAAATTATAAACACAACATGATAAACACAGCAATAGAAGCATGTGCTTGGTATAAGGGTTTGTTTATAAAACAGATTGGGGTAGGATAAAACACAAACTGTGCAAGCAGATATGCCTAGTATTGAATTTCAGCTTTATCACTTAATTGAACGTTTTGGACAACCCACTAAGAAATCGGGGTCAATGCTTTCCTCACTATTTTTGTGAGTACTGGAAGCAATGTATTTAAAATGCTCAATAGAGTGACCAGCACCTAGTTGGCACTTAATAAATCATAGCTATTAATGAGAGGCATTGATTTAAAAAAAAAACTTAGCTACAATAATAGCTCGTAATAGAATTACCCTTTGTAAAGTATAAGGCACTTGAATCCATTATTTCAACCCTGCAAGAGGGTATTTTCGGTCTCTTTTGCCTCATGAGGAAGTTGGGGCTTAGAGAGGTGAGTAGCATTGCCAAGCCACAGGGCCAGGACGGGAATACTGAGAAAGAATCGTCTAGGGGTAATACAGCATTAATGACCCCGAATCACTGTCAGGCCCTGGTGCTGTGGTGAGCAGGCAGGAGGAGGAAGGATGTCAGTGTGGCCATCGAAGACGGCAGAGGTCATGGAGCCCTCCGGGGGACTCCAATCGGAAAGTAGAAGGAAAAGGGACCTGTCTATTTTTCTTTCGATCTCAGAAGAGAGCTTCAGATAGGCCAGGCCCAGACTAGCTGTGTGTCATAAACTGTGTAAGTTTAGTCCTTGTCCCTGCTCACCACTTGTGCTGCCCCCACCATTCCCCTGAGGGAGGAGCACCAACTCCTAACAGGGAAGATTGTCTAGCTGCTTCTTTTGTTTGGTGGTGGTGGGGTGGATAGGAATCAAGAGTCAGCATCATCCTACTGCAGGGAAAAAGGGGAACCCCAGGGGATGTGTGGGTGGTGGTGGCTTTTCAAGGAACAAGCCGTCAGACTAAGTTTCCAGCACATTCCAAGTCTGGAAAGGAGAGGTGAGAAAAACCAGGGTGCCAGGGTTGTCAGAAAAGAAGTCCTGGAGCTCCACAGGCTTCTGGATGTCTGGTGTGGAACCAGACCAGAAGTTATTGCCACCCTATATATTCCCATACAAGTACACCTCTCCAGCCCTTGCATGATAGGGGCTCACGTAGAGAAGCTCTGGGATGGCTAGGATGGGGGACTTTGTTCCTCCGTGACTAGGCTCAGGAGGAAAGCTGAGCTAAGGGTGAGGGTGTGCTGTGGTGAGTACAAGAGAGTGTTTGAGCACCCAGGCCTTCTTCTGCCTGAGAGAGCTGAGCCGCAGTATGTGGAGAGTGGACCAGGTTCTGCTCCCTGCGCTGCTGAAGTCTGCATCGCTGGAAACGCAGGGTACATTGTTCTGTCCTAACATCCCTCACATAGACTGGCCCCCAAACAGATGAGAAGGCAGTGACTGTATCCTCAGAGAGAAACTGCCAGGAACTGTCTCCAATCACACAATTTCTCAAGTTGCAAGATCTTCATCAGTAAAAGGGGGACAGATAATTCCAGCCCTAACCACTTCATGATATTCTCAACAGGAGCTGCCTAAAGTAATTGGCACAGAAGAACACTGAAGGGTGTAATAAGCTATAAAGGGCTAGAAGAGAATTCTGTGTTAATTTTAATTAAATTTATTTTAAGTGACTGTCTGACCTAATAGTGTGGCCTGTGCCATTTATTGCTGATTTGGCGCTCTCTGATGCTGGGCGGTCCACATTTATCTCCCCACCTAGACTGCATGGTGTCAGAGAAGGCCAAGGAGCTTCCCTGCCAGGCGTGGTGGCTCATGTCTGTAATCCCAGCACACAGGAGGCTGAGGTGGGAGAATCATTGTGAGTTCGAGACCAGCCTGGGCTACAAAGTGAGCTCAAGGCCAGCCTGAACTGCATAGTGAGACCCCGTCTCAAATAAAATAAAATAAAATAAAGACAAAAAAAATCACGCTTCCCTGTCCTCTCTCTTTCCCATCCTCCCCACGCAGCAGCTCCACAGGGCAGCTGTGCCCTGGGTGGTAGCTGACTGACAAACTGGCAGCGAGTTCCTGGCGGGCTCTTATTTCTTTTTTGTAGGCTGTAGTCACTGCCGTCTTGTCTGTTCAGAGGTTAGGGCAGGTGGCAGAGGGCAAGTGGCCAATGTCTGTGCCGAGAGATGTTAGAACAGAGTGGTACACGCTGCCTGTGCAGCAACCCGGAACATGGAATTAGGCTAGACTCTAGGTGGGATAAAGCAGCCAGAAGGCCTCAGAATAAAAAGGCGTGGGAGGCACTGTGAAGTTTGAGTTTTCTCTTTATTCTGGAGTGTGTAAGTTTGGGATAGTACCCTAGGATCCATTCCTAGGTGCTTCGTTTTGTGTCTTTGAAACATTAGGGCTTTTTTGATGAAGGTGGCTATAAGTGTGGTTTAAGTGTATCGTGTATGTGGGTATGGAGTGTGAGAGTGATGTGAGTAGTGTGTGTGTGTGTGTGATGTGTATGTGTGTGTGTGTGTGTGTGTGTGTGTGTGCAGTGTATATAGTATGAATGTGATGTGTGCTCATGAGTGATATGTGGGCGGTGTGTCTGTGGCGTGAGTGTGATGAGCGTGTGTTGCATGCGTACATGGAGTGCTCACAGCTCTTTCTGGGAGGATCCCAGGCTGCTTCCCTCCGAGGCTGGGGAAGGGACAGTGACTCTGTTGCTGGTGGCCGGGTTCCTCAGGGTGGGGAGGCATCTGGGGCAGAAGTCGCAGCCTGGGCCAGGGCTCAGACAGATTTCCCTGCATCTCTTCCTTCACTGCCTCCCTGGAAGCACTTGGTATCCATTGCCAGTGACTCCATTATCTCTCACAGAAAAACCTGCATGGAATTGAGGACTGAGTGTGGTACCCAGATTGCAAATCAATGCAGGATGAATTAAATATTGATTTTCCCCCTTTCCTTTCAAGGAAGTTTCTTCAGTGTAATTGGCTTGCTAGTTCTGCTTTTGGCTTTTAAATTTTTCATCCTGATCCTTAAATACTCTGTTGCTGAAAGACTAACCCTGTGAGACCAAGAATGGCAACACCGTCCTCTTTGGCCTCCTGCCGCACCGCCCTGGGAACTTTCCCCTCCAAAGATGAAATGCTGGCACGTGGGAAAAGTGGCTCATAAAGACAGACTGTCTGCCATCAGCCCACAAGGCTGGCTGGGCAAAGGGCAGCTGCCTCGCCCCCAGATGCCCAAAGGCTTGCACATCTTGTCCCAGAAGGAGGGGAGACACCACCCAAGCCATGTGAGGGACACAAGTGAGGCCCTGGGGCAAGGCCCACAAGACAGGCTTGACTTCTTGGTACCCAGCTAGGCTGCTCTCTGCACTTTTCTCCAAGAAATCTTCCTTGATCTGCCCGTCCCTCCTACCCCTAACCAAGGTCTGCTCACCCCCAGCATCTCCTCTGAGCGTGGCAGGACCAAAGTAAGATATTTAAGAGGAACAGAATCTCCTAAAGACTGTGGCACATTCCTCAACTATTCTGCATCACCAAGCAACATAAAACAACACAGGCAGAACAAGGCAAAGAGCATTCTAGTTTTTCTGTCATGTCGACCAGAACATGCACGAAGTGACGGCCACCTTTTTGGTTGTGCCTGCTCTGCCTGGCAGCGCTGGGTATGTTGGGATGGTGGTTATTTCCAAGGAGTATGTCTCCTTTGAGCTGACAGCCACCAGCCCCAGGCTACAAGCAGCATGGTGGACCTCTGTCTCTCTCCCTGCCCCTTCCCCACGCCTCTGGAACTTTTGGTCAGTGAGTCAGTCTCGGGCTCTGCAATAGAAAAAGAAAACAGCAGGTCTGCATTCCCAGAGGACCAGTCCAGAGGGAAAGTTGTTCCGGGATGAGCTTGTTAGCAGAGAAATTTAATTACTGCTCTCTCAGCACGCTGAAGGCTCTGTCTCCTCAGAGCTTCCCTCCTGAGCACCTCAGTGTTCTTTCTGGACCAGCTGTGGCTCTCAAGGTGAAGATATAGAATGGAAAATTAAGGGCTGGGTCCAGAGACTTCAGAGTCCCCTGGAGAATGTAGGGCTCCAACCTCGCTTGGGCCTCCCACACTGCTCCAGGCGCCATTGCGGGGAAATTCCTCCACCTAGACCAGCAGAGGTGAACCAGCTGCCCCAAGCTGTATGTGTCACATACAGCTCCTAAAGGTTCCCCATCACTGGTCTAGACTCTGAGTGGGCCAGGTCTGGGTCTGAATGGCACACAATGTACTCAGTGATGAAACACTCATTGAGCCCTATTGTGTGCCAGGGGTGGGAGGGGGTGGGCTGTGTAAAGAGATAAAGCAGCCTGGGGGATCTGAGACACCTGCTGGGCAACCCCACACAAAGGCTTGCAGTCCAGCAACTGAGAAGTGCTGACAGGTATGTCCATGAGGCACGTAAGAGGGACCCCTAGACCTACAGCGAGAGGGGTGCAGAGGAGGGTCGGGCAGACTTGGAGCTGGTCCTTCTGAATGAGGTGGGGGAGAGGGAAGAATGTTCCAGGAAATAAGACGGTGCTGGAGCGAAGGAGGGATTGTCTCGGGGGCTGTGTACTGTCTTCCCCGGGTATGTCTGGTGCCCTCCTGCCCAGCTTAGGGCCTGGCTTGAAAAGGGCAGCAGTTATTTGCTTCCTTTTCCCCCCAGATGTGTTCTGCTCTGTGCTCACCTTCTGCAAACAGACCTGATTGACTCCAGCCTCAGCGCTCGTCCCATAAACCCGGGTGCCACAACGTATTCTTAGTCTAACAACAACATACAGATTTTTGCCAGATTAGCAATGCATTATTATTTTTAAAACCCAATGATGATAAGAATACAGAGAAATGGCCATGTTTATAACATTGCTAATATAATATTTTAGATACAATATATAAGCTGCTAAAATTCCGTAGAGTAGCTGACAACATCCAAAACCTAAAAATACCTTCAAGTTATTTTTTTCAAGTGTGTGTGTCTGTGCATGTGTTGTTGGACTCAAATCCAGGGCCTTGCACGTGCTACCCAAGTGCTCTACTACTGAGCTAAATCCCAAGCCCCGTGATTATTGATTCCCATGATCAGTCCTGATGGAATAATGTTACGTATACCAGAAGCTTGTTGCACAGGTACATGTGTTGCTGCCTTGTAGATCATAAGGAAAGACTGGAAACAATCTTTATAATTAGTCCTAAGATATAGTCAACTAAATTGTGATAGAATCACCTCCTTCAACTTGTGAGGAAGCTGGAATAGTCAAATTCGTAGAGTCTGAGTAAGATGGGGATGGAGGGTAGGGAGTTATTTTTAATGGTAGAGCGTTTCAGTTTTGTAATGCTTAATGCCACAGAGCTGTGCAATTAAAAATGGCAAAGATGAACTGGGAGGAGTGACACATACCTGTATTCCCAGTTACTAGAGAGGCTGAGGCAGAAAGTTCAAGGCCAGCCCAGCCAAATTACTGAGCTTGTCTCAAAATAAAAAATAAAAAGGGTTAGGGATATTGCTCAGTGGTACAGTGCTTAGGAGTTTGATTCCCAGTACTGTTTTTAAAAAAGATTAAGGTAGTGCATTTCACACAATTAAAAAAATATGCACCTGGTGGGGAGAGTGTCTCAGCAGTAGATTGCCTAGCAATTCCTGAGGCCCTGGGGTCCATCTCCACATTACAAAAAGATTAAAAAAGAGAGAGAGAGAGAGAGAGCATTGAAGAAGAGTAAAAAGACATTAAAAATTATCTTTTCTAAAATCCAGTTTGCTTAAATAGAGCTTGTCTGCGGTCTGGCATAGGAGGTAATGAATGAGACCAAGACTAATATGCAATCATTCGTTCACTCACATCATGAAACAGATACATACACACAGTGGAACAAACAGAAGAGCCCTGGATCCTGGCCTGTTCTCTTCCATTTCAGTCTGCACTGGAGGTTTGCAATTCTAGGGAAACTCATTAAACTGTCTGAGACAATGCACACTGATGACTCATGTACCCTGATTTTGCCCATTATGGTTGGGTTTCTCTGGTGGAGAGCTGAGTGGGTCCCAGGTGGATGGCATGGGCGTGGCCATTTCTGATGAACCCTCCTTGGAGAACGTTCCTCCTCTGGAAGATGGTCGTGAGGAAACCAGCTCACTTATATTTGGGACTTTGGAAGCAGGTGAGATTCACAGATGGAAGGTCAGTCCCCACACTACCAGAGATGGATGCCCTGTAGGGCTTTTTCAGGTTGGTGTTCTAGGTCCTCAGCCACAGGGGTAGTGTGGTCTGCGGTCTGTGTTCAGTACCTGATGAATGCTGAGAAGGGAGAGGGGTGCTTTCTCTCATGTTTGGCAATGCTTGCTAGGAAAATGTTTCAAAACACCCTCAGACTCCCAGATGAGCTCAAATACAAGAAGGGCGGTGGTAGGCTAGTGCAGAATGTCATACTTGGGGCCAGTGTGAAGAGTAGAACCAGACAGTTGGCCCCGTTTATTGATTATCTATTATTTTCCAGGTAAGGTGGGAAAGGTGCTAAGTACACAGGTAGTAAAGTCTAGTTCAACCAGATTATGCTGTCTCACCTGGTTCAAGTCTGGGATTTGCCTCCTAAAGTACACTTCAGGTCGCTTCAGGTGAATGATTTATTACTCTGTGACTCAGTTTCTTATCTGCAAAATAGACTAACAATGATACTTACCTTGTGGACTGCTGAGATATTTAAATGAGTTTAGAACTACAAAATGCTTAGAGTGATACCTGACAAATGGTAAGTGCTGGGCAGGTTTCTATCCAGAGAGATGAGATGAGATCCAAGAAACCACTGGCCCTATGGAAATCAGGAAGTGAGAACTTTTTTTCTTTCCGAGACAGCATCTCATGGTTACCCAGGCTGGCCTTGCATTTGCAGTCCTCCTGCTTCAATCTTCTGAGTGACTGGGGCTACAGATGTTCAGACACCTGACCATGCTAGTGAGACACTCTTGATACCTGAATGCCAAACCCCAGACGGTGGCCTCCTCTGGTCTTGGGCAGGAAACTCTCCTTTCCTGCTAAGATTCCCTGTGCCTCCTCCCATCCCAGCAGGGGTTTTATTCACAGTGGTGGAAGAAGGAAGAATGGGGGCTGCAGAACTGCAGAGGCTGGAGCAGGGTGAAGCCAGGTGCCTGCTGTGGCTGGCAGCCCCTGGGCCTCCTGAGGGACTCCGGCAAGAGCATGCCAGGAGCAGGCGGGTGAGCTCGAGATGGAGACAGATTAATATAATCACTATAATACTAGCTCTGCTCACTCCCCTACTTTTCCTCTTAATGGTGATTATTATACTTATTAGAGGCTCAGCTGCCGATGGTTATTGATTCTCCTTGCTGCAGCATTTTAATCAGGGATTTGAAGCTATTGTTGGTAACACAAGCCTTCCAGGGCCCCAGGACAGGTGCAGAGCAGGACATCAGGACCTCTTCAGTCAGGTGTATGAGGTCCCCAGGGTTCCAGAGTCACACAGAGCACTCAACACAGACACATCCTGCCTCTCTGTCTCGTGTCAGGAGAGTGGGAGAAGAGGGAACAGCACCTCGCTGGGCCTCCCTATGGGGAGGCCCAATGGCAGCTGTTTCCTGGGGTGTGGCTGAGGACACCACTTCCTTTCCCTGTAACCAGGGCAGATTCTGCTCCCCATGCACCTCCCCAGTGGCCCAGCTTCCTTAACACACATCCCCACCAGCAGGTGCTAGGGGTGGACCCAGTGTGTTTGGGTCTACATAGAAGGGAGACGCAGCAAGGTCAGTTAGGAATAGCCTGGCTAGGCTGGAGCCATGACACCTCGCCATTTCTTGGATGTTCAGGGTGTGTTCACATCTGATGAGCATTCGGTAGGTGTCAGGCAGGCATTGGCGGAGGAGCACTGCCCACATTGTCTCCTTTAGTTCCCACATTAGCCTCTCAATGGCACGTGATTAAGCCTTTTCTCCAGAAACAGGAACTCAGAGAATCAAAGCAACTTGCCCAGTGAGTAGCCTGGCTCACTCAGCTGGGACACAGTAGAGGTGTGGCTGGACCCAGGTCTTATGCTGGATAGGCAAGAAAAGTCCCATTTCACGGATCACTGGCAGAGAATCTTCCGCAGTTATATGGGTGTCAATCCTGCACTCCCCAGCTCTGTGGTAGAGGTTTGGGGTCCCCAGGGTGAGCCTTAGCCTCATTGCACACATGAGCCCAGAAAGACTGCACCTGTGGGCAAGTGAGCCCCTTTCCCAGGTTCTGGAGGTGGGCAATGGCTCTGCACTGGGGCAGAGTCCTGTGGCTCCAGCTCTGGTTCCACTGCACCCTCCAGGAGTCTTCCCCCATTGGTATGCAGAAGGGTGCTTACAGTCTGGGGTGCTGGCCTGGCTGTTGCCTGGTACCTCTACTGCCCGGATGCTATTGTATCTCATGGCAGAGCTCCTGTAAGTCACAGCCACATGCATCATTTCCAGCAAGTGCAGAGGGGGAGAATAGCCAATAAAAAAGCCAAGTGAAAATGAAATAAATCAAAAATATTAAACATTAGGAAAATGGATTTCAAGCAGTCACAAATAAATGGATGTGTAATGTGAATATTTTGCTGTTTCACTGAAAATATGAAGTGGATTCTGCTTTAGCAATTTAAAAAGTCCTCTGTGGTTAGAATTAGTGAATTCTGAGTCCGAGTCCTCACTTCCTTGCTCATGCCAGAGGGGGTGGGGTGGGTGATAACTGGGCATCCTATTACTGGTGTCTGGACTGAGAAAAACCTTAGAAACCCAGTGGCTGGTGTTCTAATGCTCTCTAGACACTAAACCCTCTTAATTTCAGAGAGGACCAGGTGGACAAGTAGACACTTGTGCCCCCTGGACCCTGCACAGCAGCATAGCAGCACACCCTGGTCCTTTTCTTTCTGGAGTGTTCTGCGCCCTGGCTTTTCCCCAGTCTCCCCGCTTGTCCTTTCCTCCCCCTTCTCCTGTCACCCCTGAGTCACCTCAGGGCCTGATGCAGAGGTCAGCCACACTGTCACCTCTGAGCTCCTGCTAGCAGACAGCTCAGCACCTCCAACAGAATTGCTCACATCCCCTCGGCTCCTGTGGGGTTAGTCGTAGCCTGGGTCTTGTCTTCCTGCTGGCCTTGCAGCCAGCCCTGTTTAAAGACATGGAGTCCCTTTCTCTTTGTCTTCTGTTCCCAAAGTACCAAGTCCTATGGGATCTATAAGAGAGCAACAGAGGTGCCCGCCAGCCAAGGGGACTTCTGTTCCCCCTCCTCACCCTGAGCACCTTGGCCATACTGCACCCTGCTTTTGCTCACTGATGACCCTCCTTACCCTTCCTGCCTGTACCTCCTGGTATAGAAGCCAAACTGTGCGCCTGGCTGGGGAGAATACTCTTTAAGAGGGAGCAGGTCTTGGGGTGGGACTGGGACCTTGCTGATGAGCTGCACATCATACTGCAGAGCATGCCAGCCTCCTGAGCCTCAGCTGTTCTTTAGCTATACCATGGAGGTGGCCCTGCACTGGGGCAGGGTGGGATCAGATAAGTGAGTGTGTGGGCTTCTGCAGTGCCCTTTCACAGGTCGGCTTCTCCGTTCCCTGTCCTTTCCAGAGCTGGCCTCAGTCTGTTAACACTGAGAGCCCTGATGCTAGCTGGGGCTGCAGGACTGCTATCAATGAGGTCTCAGGCTTCAGACCTCAATTCCCACCTGGAATGAGTGACGTATCTGGATCCACACAGCTCCAGAGGCTCCAATCTGCCCAGGGACTTGGCGATGAGTCACAGCAAGCTGACACCATAGACATGAAAGGAATCAGCCTTGCAATTTTGGCTGTGATAATGAGCACTAAGTAAAACTTGGAACTGCATCAGAGACTGGCTGCCTTTGTCCAGTCCTTGCCCATTGGGATTCCAATAAAAGGACCTTTGTCCATAGCTCCTCCCCACGCCACCACACTGAGGTAGGGTGGAGGGCTCCTGGGAAGGAGCCTCAGTGGAAGAGGCTGACTCCAGAGGTGGGTCTAGGACGTACCTACGAGGAACTGTCCTGCATCCTGGTCACCCAGGGTGCTGGCTAGGCCCCACAGGAGGCTGGGGCCTGTAATGCTTCTCTCGCAGCACGGCAATGGCCTCTGCCTGTTGGGTTCTGTATGCCCAATGATGGTGAGCACTAGACTTGCATGCACTATTTATATCAATGCTTGGAACAGCCTGAAAAGGCAGCAGTATCCCCCATTACAGAGGAAGAAAAGTAACTTACCTAATGGCAAGGAAAAGTAACTTACCTAATGGCAAGACTGAGATTGAAGTCCATAGGTTCATCTCTACCAGTTAACCAGATCAGATTGTGATCTCAGGATGGATGTGGTCCAAGACGGCTTCAAGTTTCTGACCACTGGTGGGGATAGCAGGTGCAAGGTGGGTATTAGTGGAGTTTTGCAGAAAGAGAGGGTATACACAAGGCAGGCAGGGTTAAAGGGAACCAGCAAGAGTGGTGGCACCCTCAGAGGGGAGCGGAGTGGAGCGGAACCATGGCTCCTGAGACTCAGAAAGAGATGAAGTTGGAGGAAGGGTCAGCTTCCCTGAAGAGTTGTGGCCTGCAGGACTGGGAGGAGAAGGCACAGCAAAAACCCTAGAATGGCTGGGCAGCCAGGACTCTTGAGTAGACCCCAGCCCCGAGGTCCAGGGAGAAGACCCAGAGGTTTGTGGTCTGGGCATAGGACATAGATCAGGGTGGGACAGCGTGGAGAGCCAGAGAGTTTGACAGACAAGTAGAATGGGTTCCATGTAGGCTGCCTCTAGCACTCACTGAGGGGCAGGTGTTGCAGAGCTAAGGGAGCTGGCAGGGAAAGCAAACAGTTCTGCCTGTGTCCAGGACAGCCACTTCTCTCTGGGTTTTTGACCATCACCAGATGTATCCTGGGCACTAGAGCCCCCGGAAGGGTCCCAGACTTGAACAAGGTCCTCTCTGCAGCAAGGAGGGGAGCTGGATGGAGATGGCGAGGAGGCAGGGATGACAGCTGCTAGGGAAAGGAAAAGAGACAGCGAGAAAAGCTGCCCCGTCTCACCTGAAGAAACACTCCTTGTCAATGGCCTTTTATTCTTTCTGCAGATTTGCAAGGCCCATTTTTATCATGCAGATGTTTGCACTAACAGCTGTGTGTGTAAGTCTATCGTCCATGGGCCCCCTGACCCACAGAAGCAGCTCTCTAAGTGGGTCGAGGCACCCCTTTTGGGTGCTTCCTCATCCTGAGCTTCCATGGAGTGGGCACATTTTTGATACACCAATATAAACCCTATATCTAGGGATAAGGGAACCACAGAAAGTAGGGTCTCTAGCTTTGAGGTACTCTGTATCCTGACTGCCCATGTTCACTTCCAGAAAGAGAGACAGTCCAATTATCCATTCAGTAATGCAGTCATGGGCTGGGCATTTAGCTCAGCAGCATAAGTGCCTGCCTGGCAAGCTCCAGGCCACGAGTTCAATCCCTGATACCAAAACCAATGCAGTCATCTCCCATTGGTTGAGCAATAGGAACCAGTAATGCCAGAAGCCCCTCTCTGGTGCCAGCATTGATTGTGTTAGCTCCTGTGCCCCCTGCCCCTCCCAGCAGCTGGTGGGTGGCAAGGGGAGTGTGATAGTAGCCTGTCAGCTTCCCCATCATCCTGGGTGCACGAGGCCGCTCTGGACAAATGGAATTTGAGGACAGAGGAAGAGTAGGTGGAAGCTTTGCCATCACACCTACAGACTCCCAAGCCTGCCAGCCGCCGCATTGCAGAGTTCAGCTCCAGGAGAATCTTCTGCAGTTTTGTTTGACCCTGGTCCTTGCAATGGAGACCTGCTTGGATCGAATCCCAGGAGAGAATTATCCTTTTCCGTTTGCTAGAGGCTGGCCCTAATATCCATGCCCTATGCTTGAGAGAGCAAGGTTGCATGGAAGTCCACATGTCTGCCAAGACAGTCCTGTGCCGAACCCATTTCTGGGGCACTGGGGCACTGGGGCACTGGGGCGGGGAGCAGGACTGGATGCTGGTGAGCTGCTCCTCTGTGTGTCCCACAGCTTTCCTAATGTGCGGCCCTGAAGGATGGGAATAGAGAGACCCTTGATCTTTTACCTTCCCCTCTCTGCTGTCCTGAACCTCTCAGTGTCATTTATGCCACAAGGGGCAGGGCAGAGGGGCGGACGAATGGAGGTGGCAGGGAGAGATCCAACTCCCACACCCTGACCCCCGCTTGCAGTATCTCTCTTGTGTCTCTCTTGTGTTTTGCTGCCATATTTCTCTCCCTGCTCAGCCCTGCTGGCCACAGCTGCCCCATGCAGCCCTTGCTTTCCCATCCATCATGCTGACTGCAGAGCATTGGAGTAAATCTCACGGAGGAACCTCCCTGCCCTGGGCCTCAGAGGACAGGGCTCAGCTGTCAGAGAAGAGAGCGATTTCCAAAGGGCAGAGCACCAAGCCCTGCAGGACTGATTGACTATGAATTATGGACATCTCATCAGGCATCTCAGGGCTCCCGAGCCAGGGAGAGGCTTTTGGAGCATGCTCCCTTCACACTAGGTGCATGGCAGGTATTGCAGCTACTTGCTTTTCTAGTGGTGGGGCTTTTGTGTACACCCTCTGCGTTAGATCGGGAGTCCTATGACTGCAAGACCTGTGTCCAGCTAGTGGGGCCTCAGTATGGAATAAAGAGCTGCTCATCTCCGGGAAGCCCCGGGAGGCAGCAGGGAGCCCAGGCTGCCCTCTCACTGTCAGCACCCTGGTCTGGACACCTTCCTTGTCACCCTCCACCCTTCCTTCCTGTGGGTCTCAGCCTCTTCTTTTGCTGCTGTCACCTCTCTGATTCTCTTCTGCTTCCTTGTCCTGGTGGAACTCCCCAGGCTGGTCCCTGGCTAGGGACTTTTCCTGAGCCTTGCTGGGGTGCTCAGGAAGCCTGCTCGATCTTACCCTGGCCCCGCTTCAGCAGAGCCCCACAGATGTGAAGCAACTATAGGCTGTTACCTTTATGGGTTTTTCAGGTCCCTCTACCCCTTCTCTTGACTGGCCTTGCTGCCATCAACGTCACAGTGGGCTCGTATCTTTCTTCCAATTCACATGGTGCTGGCCTCCTAACCAACATCCCTTTCAAAGCCACTCTTCCCGGAACTACCCAGATACCCACCCGATCCTTTGGCTCCCCAGGTCTCACCCCATGGAACCCTGCAAGGGCCCTCGCTGCTTCTCTTACCCACCCCCTTGTTCCTTTGTGCTGAGGCCCACTGGGTTCTCAGCTCTGGGTCTGGAGTGACACCCTCTGCCACTCCAATCCTGGGTCCCTGCTCCAGCATTCCCACTTTCAGAGTGCCTCCCTCATCTCTGCTCCATCTTGGTGCGGCCACCATGAGGCTGTGTGTGCTGCTCTGTCACCGAGATTATAGCCCGTTCTAACCTCTGTGAGCCCTCCATCCCTGTCCCGTCCCCAGCACCTGGAGTTCCCTGTACATACAGGGGATGATTCTCCATCACTGAATGAGTGAGATGCAATGAAGGAAAGGAAGGAAGGACAAGAAGCAGACAGGTCCAGTGAGCAAATGCTCATACACAAGGGTTTAGAGGACAGGGCATTGGAGAGGCAGCTTGGAGGAGAAATGCTGGGGGTAGATGAGAAGATAGTGCCAGATTCAGCCACAGGAGAAAAACGCTTTGAATATACAAAGCATCCTTTCCCTGGCTCCTGTCAGCACCTTCTCAAACTGAGAAAAATAAACCTGTTTTCCTTATGACAAAGAGTGATTTGACGATAAACCCCCTCAGCTTCCCAGGAGGTGGCAGTGACTCTGATAGGTGGGGAGGGGGCTGAAGGAAGAAGGGGGAGAAGAAAGAGAGGAGAAGGGGAGACAGGAGGCGGGGGAGGACAGAGGGAGAAAGCGTTTCTGTGTGCTGATTACTAATGCAGTGGAGAGCTCAGCAGGTTTTGTGGGGAAGCATTGATTGTGCATGAGAAAGCAGGCAGAGCGGTAAAAAAGCGATCTCCAGGCCCTGAAGCCAAGCTGGAGGGAGGAGAGGGCCTTGGGGGTTTGGAGACTGCTTGGCCTTGGAGCTGCAGTGTGGAATACAGGGACTGGAAATGCCTCCAAGGTCCACAGAAGGGGAAGGGACACGTACCCCTTCCTTTCTCCACTTTCCTGAGGACTGTACCAGCCCAGTTCTGGCACTGGAGTGTGGCAATATATGGAGGAGGCTGGGAGCCCCTGTCCTTGAAGGGGGGTCAGTCCTTTAAGCTGGCTGGGCCTGAGGAACATGTGAGTGCACCCTGAGACTGTCCTGCCCTACTGCCCTCAGAGGGCCCCTGGGGGAGGCTCGATTCTCCCGCTTGCTCTGGGGATCAGATCCTGGTCTTTGAGCCCATCTGCTCCTATCTCTGAATATCTTCTCTGAGAAAGCAAAAGAATGTATGGATTTGCAGACAGTCTGCACCTTCCAGATCATGGAATCTAATCCACTCGCACCAGAGGGAGGAAAGAAGAGAAGATTAGCCTGAGGCCACGCAGTGTCAGCGTGGGTTCAGGTGGACCCTCCTCCTGTGTCTGGCTCCATGGGGCAGCAGCAGGGCAGGGACCCCCACTTCTTGCCTGCTCTGGTCCAAGGGGCTTCCCCTGAACTCTGCAAGCTGGAGGCACTGTGAGCCCCCTAGACAGGTCTTCTGGAGGCTGTGACCAAAGGCAACCTGTGAAGCCCAACCAGTGTCCCTTAGAACCCCCTTGCTGCCTCTCCTCATAGTCTCCTCCTCCTGGGAGGAAGCTGGGGTTCTCCCTCCCTCTTCAAGCTCCCCCTAGGGCTCCTGGGCTCTCCTTTCACCACATCAGCCCCCTTTGACCCTTCCCAGGCCTGGTAGCCAAGCAACAGATCTTCCTCCTTAAAAGGTTATGTTTTCTCTGGTCACTGTCACCTTCTGCGTTGTGAATCACACTCCCTCCCCTCCTGCCTTGTATGAGTAACAGAGACTGAGGACATTAAAATTTTCAGAGAAGGATCCATTGTCCTTACAATAAAACCTTACAAGCCCTCCGTGTTCAGGGTCAGCTGTTATCTGTCCCCAGCCCACCCGCAGCTCTGGCTGCTCAGGTGGGCCTCCTCTGGCCTCCTCCTCTCTCCTTGAACTTGCCATGCTTACTTTTTTTCAGGGCCTCTGCTTCTCCATCCCCTCTGCCTGGAATGTGTCCCCCTACCATTTTGCTGGCTGCTGCTTTCTTCTCATAGAGATGTCAGCTCAGTCTCCATAGCTCGAGGGGACTTCCTTGACTGCCACACCTAATGTTGGCCTTTGCTACTTGCAGTGTCTGTGGCTTGCTCCCTAGCATCACTTCCTGCCTGAGTTAAATTGTTTATTTGTGATGATTGTCTGTTTCCACTGTGGTCTTGTGACCCCCTACAGAGACCTGTCTGTTTATTGTGATGATGTCTCTGGCACTTACTAAGGAGCCATTCACAGAATCAGGTGACCCTAGAGACATGAAGTCGGAGGCTGGGCTGGATCTGTGGGAATCTCTGTCCAGGGCCCTTGCAGACTCAGAGGTGCCTCTGTCCCCAGTTCAGAAAATAGAGACTCGGTATCCACGTGAAAGGGGTGATCTATCTGGGCAGAAGTTGGCAGGTGCCCTGCAGTCTCTGAGACCTTCAGCTGAAGTTGGCCACTGGGGTTAGGGTATATGTGTGCTTGCTCCTTGGCTGTTGACATCTTTGCCTTGGTTGTCACTGCATGTTCACAGGTTGTCATAGAAGTTATTTGGAAAACACCACCCACCCGGCCAAGCTCACCTGGGCATGGGTCCAATGACCCCGCTGAGTGATGGTGACAGTAGCAAACAGGCAAAAGGCCTCCCTGCCCGCCCTCTTTCAGGATGCCAAGTAAGGGAGGGTGGGGGATTCCTGGACTTCTGGGAAAGAAAGGGGCAGCAAATTTGGAGCTAAACCTACTGGACTCCTGGCCACAATGCACAAGAACGACAGGGATGGGGCTGTGTAGAGATAGGTGGACTGGGCCCCCTCTGCAGTTCCTGTCCCCACCAGGGGACTGCAGGGAGAGAGGCTGCCAGAGTTCAGTCCTGCCCGGGGCTGGCCCTGGGTCTTGCTGTGATTCTGTTTACCAACAAGCAGGAAGAGCCTATTGTACTCAGGGTCCAAGGAGTGGAAAGAAATCAGTGAACAGGAGCTCAGGAGCCAAAAAACAGGGCTCAGAAACAATAGATAGGAAGGGAGTGGGTGTGGGAAGAGAGACCTATATCTACACTGAGAGGCTTGGGTGAGAAATCCAGGTGGCAGGTGCCACCAGTTGGGGACATTAGGAGAGGGAGGGGAAGAGAAGGGCCATTTATGGTCAGATTCGGTAGCAGATCTGTCTCCCCCCATGTGGTGGGGTTGGTCTGGGAGTGTTTGTTGGGTGTGCTCTGAGCAAGTTTCCCCAAGAAAGCATGAAATGAGACATGATTCAGCATGTGTCAGACACCCAGCTCCAATCCAGGAGGGCCGGAGGGCTTTGCAGACAGGCCAAGTTGGAAATTCCGTCCTGCCTCTTACTTGCTGTGTGATTTCAGGCAAGGAACTGAATCTCCGAGTCCTTGTATAAAATCAGGGCAGCGCTTACCTCATTGGATTGATGATACACACAATGTCAAAGGCTAGTCCAAGGGCGGATGCAGTGTCTCACCCATGATGGCTCCGTAGCTTTCTGCAGCCTGGACTTTGGGCTCTTGCTTAAATCAGAGGAGAGATGCCCGTTTGAGTTAGACAAAGGTTTGCCTGGACATAGGAGTGTGAACCAAGGGTCTCAAGGGCTCTTGAGTCCTTTGACTACTACATTTCTGCCAGCTTTCCATCTTTCTTGCCTGCTGTCACATCTTCAGGGATGGTGTTCTGATCTGCTGATTTCTGGAGGACCCCTTCAGTGCAGACTGACCCCTTCAAAGGGGCAGCACCTACAAAGACAAGGTGATTTCACCCCGGCTATGGATAACTGCTGAATACCTTCCTATTTTGCAGAACACTCTCAGCTTAGCAGCCATTTGTATCCTTCTGAGCTGCTCTTTTTCAGGCTTATCCAGGACCTCACATGCCCCAGCAGTGCACCTCTTCCCTCCTTATCCTTCCCCTGCTGCCCAGCACTCCTGCATTGCCTATTCGCAGGACACCGAGGCTTGAGGGGTTTATTTCTTAGATTCCCCAAAAGAGACACTGCTAGTTTTGCAGATGTGGACTTCAGAAACTGCCTTGGGCTGGGGGAGAGGGGTGCTCTGGAAGGGATGAGCCCCTCTTTTGAGACTGCATATTATAATCCTTGAGGAGCGTTGGTTATAGGCAATGTGCCATTCAATCTTTGCTAGCCTTGGTGTCTGGGTGGTTGGAGTGTGCCTTGCACTGCATGGATCAGAGATGGGGCAAGGTCAGCAGCAGAGTCACAGGAGTTCAGGCTATGATGACACAAAATCAACCCGGCCTCAGGGGCCAGGCTGTCCATACCCGGCAGATGCGCTCTCTCTACTTCCTCTTCTTCCTCATCAGATGTTTCTCTGTCCCAGTGGAACTTGCTACCAGAAATGGAAGGTCAGAGAAGTTTTGGTGTGAGTTCTCAGACTAGATCTGTGTTGTTGTAGGGCTGGGCACCAGGCCCTTGGGATTTGGATATGCTTTGAGCATCAGATTTGGATGGAGGGACCCCCACTAGGAGGACAGAGTTAGGTGCTGATTTGCCACAAGTCCCACAAGAAGGTGGGGTACTCAGTGGTCAAATCCCAAACTTCAGATTTTCACTGCTCGTTCCACTGCCCCTCCATTCCTGAGGAGGTGGCCACAGCTCGAGCCCCTCCAGGCCCTCTTGTGCCTGAACTGAGACACACAGAGAGAAAAGGGTTCAGGAGACAGGGTTAGGTGGGTGGTGCCAAGAAGAGGCTAACAAGCTGTTGCTCCATGCAGGCCTGGGAGAGGATGGGGGGAAGGTGATGGGGCCCATGAAGAGGAGATATCTGTGTGCAGGTCCACTGCACAGAAGGTCCACCCAGGCTGGACCACTTGAGGCTGAGGTGGAGGTCTCATGAGGGATTTCACTGCAGCCAGGCAGGAGGGAGGTGGCCCTGGCTGCTTTGTCACTGCAGGTTGGGGGTGGGAGGACGCTTGGAATGTAAACAAGGCATCCTTCCAACGTACAGAGATCCTGGCAGGGACCGCAAGAGGGGGCTTGTGAGAGGGAGGCTGCTGGAGCCTGTGCAGTCTGCTAGCTGGACAGGCAGAGACGACCTTGAGGGAGAGGAGAGGCGCAACTGAGCTGGTGTCTGGGAGGGGGGAAGGCAGGAGGAGGGAGGCTGCAGAGAGCATCTAGACAGGGAGGCCGCCTCGCGTCTGACTGCCTCCCTCCTGGCCAGAAGCAAGAGGATGCCGACAGGGGAGTGGGGGTGAGGAGGCATGGGGACAGTGTGTCCTTGAGCCCTGGGTTTCCCTGGGCTCCTGCTGGTGACTGTTGACTTGGCTCCCATGGGGCGCCCCTCTTCCAGCTTGGGAGATGCCCTTCCCAGTATTTATGTTTGAAAGTGCTTTGGGGGCCTGGGGTGTAGCTTAGTGGTACAGTCCTTGTCTAGTATGCACAAGGCCCTGGGTTCCACCCTCAGCACTGCAACAAAGGAGAGCAGAGCAAAGCAAAACAACTGAAATAAATAGATACAGAATAAATAAGTAAATACTAAAACTTGGTTGGGGCACTAATCTGCTCTAGGCGGGGATTCCCAGGCCTCCTGGAGGGATTTCCTTAATGATTCATCCACCCCACACCCAATTTGGTTTTCCCAAATTCTACATTGCTTGTAACTTTTTTCTTGGACAAAGCCTACCACCTCCCATTTTCTCTCCGTAGAGATGCCATCCTCATAGGGTGACTGGGGCCATGGGATTAGATCCTGTATGAAAAAAAGATTTACAAAGTGCAAATCTGAAACCTGAAAGAGGTGACCATTCTAGGGGGAGGCTAAAGGGAAAGGCAACAGGAAGGAAGCACACAGGGGAGTTGGGGGAGGAAGCCTCCCAGACCCCCCACCCCCACCCCACCCCCTGTTGGATTTGGCTCCAACCACATTCACCATCTGGCTCAAGGGAAGAGGGGCGTGGCTGTGCTGGGGCCTGGGGCATGCTGAGGAGTGAGGGGCTCCCCTCTCCACGTGGCTGGTGGTCCAAGTGCTGTCCTGTCCCTGGGTCAGAAGCTGGTGTAGATGGACAAGCTGACTGGCCTCTGAGGACCAGGATGAATTTGATTAGGCAAGTGTGACCCTGGGAAGAAGTGGAGTCTTGGGCAGACCTAGACTGCTGGCTGGTGCTGGGCAGTGAGCCACTCTGCCTGGCTGTGCTGCTGCCTAGATCTGGGGTCCCTTCTGGGGCTCCACACTCTTTTCTCTTGTGCTTGGCTGGCACCCACCCTTCAGGCCAGTCTTACCATCTTCATTCTGCAGGACAGGACTTCATCCACACAGCTGCTGAATTCCGACTCCCTCCCCTGTGGTTCGGGTCTGAGCAGTGCTGGAGCCCAGCTCCACCACAGAAGACAGGATGGAGCAGCTGATCCCACCCCTCCCCTGGGGCGAGGGACAGATGATCCATTTAGAATTTTTCTGGGGAGCCAGCCAACAAGGGCATTCTTTCTGTTCTTCGGGCTTCCCCAGCCCAAGCTGGAGATTAGTCAGGAGACAGATGCAGAGGTGTGGCCTTGGGGAAAATCCTACAAGTGCATAGGGTGGTCCCAGGGAAGGCAGCAGAGGCTGGGAGTTGCTGGTCTCCTCCTGCACTCAGGCAGGAATCTGATGACCTTCCTATGTATAGATTGACCATGCACATCTGGAGTGCCTAGGGGCCTATTATGGAAAATCTCTTTTATTTATGTATTTTTGGTGCCTTGGGCAGGGGTCGTCTTTCAATCTAGGATTTTCTTGAAGTTGGAGATCTTGAGATTTTGAGCTGTTGCATGCTGAGGCTTTTCATAATCCTGCAGGCCATGGAGGGGAAAATGGGATTTGGGAAGTGGGGAGGGAAGGTGGAGAGGAGAGGAAGAGAACTCTTCTGCACTAGAGTAGAAAAGCAGAGTTGGACACATGCATACACGGAGAGCTAGAGCCCACACAGAGGTACACACACACACACACACACACACACACACACGCACACACATGCACACACACACGCACACACACTCTGGGGCTGGTGAGAGCTGTAGTGTCTGAATGTGAGGAACAGGAGGCTCAGGCTTTCCCAGTCCTCTCTGGAGCAGCGTATGCTGGGCCATTTTGTCGCTGGGCTCAGCATCACGAGGCTCCCCACTGTCACATATTTGGGAGCCAGTGCATGCAACTCTGGTCCAAGCCTCAGTCAGTCATGTGAGCTGGGTAAGTGATTCATCTTTTCTAGTTCTCGATTTCTTCATCTGAGGAATGTGACTAATAATTCCTGACTTGTCAGCTTACAGGACTGTCATGAGGATCCAAAGTGCTTGCTGAGGTGCTAGACAGGTGGGGGAAGGAGATTAACAGGTTCCCACCCCTGTGGGCCACAAGAAAGCTTGTCTCTCCAGACTCAAGGACCACCCTGAGTAGTTGCCTTCAAAACCAAACTTGGGCAGCCTCCCACTCTGTGTTTGGCTTCAGCTTAAATGTCACTTTGATAAGGAAGTCTGAGGCCTTAGCTACGCCCCCCTCTTGTAAACCTATGTATTCCCTTTAATAACCCTTATTACAGGTCAAATAATGAAGTTGTTTGTGTTAACCATTTGTTTAACACCTGTCTTCTGCTCTAGAGTAGAAGCTTCTTGAGGAAAAGGGGCATGTCTGTTATACTCCATCTTGTCCCCAGCACGTGACACTGTGCCTGGCATACAGCAGGCGTGTGCTGCAGAAAACCCTTGCTGCATGAATGAAGACTCTACTGGGCTCATCCTCGCATGCCTCCAATACTAGATGTCAAGTACCAACTAATACATCAGCTGGATAACAGCTACTCTTCTTCCCATCCACTCAGCGCAGCCAACCCTGCCCAGCTCCCCAAAAGCCTGCAGGTAATTGCTTTATTAGTTAATTAATTTATTATCTTTGCCCAAGGCTGCCCTCTGCTGGCTGAACATTACAGGATAGAAGGGGAACGATGGACACACTAGTGGCCGGAAACCAGCCGATTGAGCCTCCCCAGGCCTGGGAAGAGGTCCACGCTACCTAAAGGGCATCCAGGAGAAGAGTCAGGCCCACTCTCTGTCCTTCTGGATAGCTCCCTCCGGCTCTCACAGGAGGCTGCAGCCCAGGAAGAGCAAGAACTTACAGAGACTGTGCTTACCCTCATGGGACAGTGCGGAGGCAGAGAAGGGCTTGCTTAAATAGTTGTTGTTTCCTCCACAGTGTACCGCAAGCTTGTAACAACCAGTCCTCAAAAACCAAAGCCCGAACCTGATTTGTAGCATTTATGGAATCTCCCACTGTGGCCAATTTCAAACTACCAAGGGGATGTTACTGAACAAAGATTTGGGAGGAGGTACCAAGTAGAGTATCATTAGATTGAGTTTCCACCACACGAGTACCATGGATAGAATAGCTGCAGAGGCATGTGTAAGAGTAAAAGATGGTAGGGCTGGGAATATAGCTCAGGGGCTCAAGCACCTGCCTGGCAACTGCAAGGTCCTGAGTTCGATTCCTGATTTTTAAAGAAAAAAGTGATAGTAAAAGATAATAAAATAATTGGGAAAAGACGAGTTTTGAGTATGTGTTACATTTGTTTTCAATAGAATACGTTTAATTGTGAGGTTATATAATTTACTTTTTCATAATGGCTGTGTTTAACAACCGACTTTCAAGCTGCTAGAAAATTTAATCACCAGTTTCTTGCAAGCCCCCTAGTTGGTAAGAGCTAGCTGCTGCTTCTCCTCCTCTCCCTGCCCTCTTCAGCCTCTGCCTTCTTCTCTCTCTCCTCCTCGTTCATGGCTTTCCTGGCGTTCAGTGTGGGCAGGAGGGATGGGGAGGTGGAAAAGAGCTCTCCTGCAGACGCTGCTCTTCTCTGAGCCAGGAGACATAAGGTGTGAAGGAAAGAGGTGGGGAAAAAGCGAATCTGGCTGCTGAAGGGATCTGCAGTGTGTGTGTGTGTGTGTGTGTGTGTGTGTGTGTGTGTGTGTGAGGCAGTGATTTTTGCAACTGGATCATGAGGCTGTCTAGTGCACTTTAAACTTGGGGGCTGGGCACCGTGCGTCCTTGGTGGGCTCTACCTGGGAGGAGAGGCCTGTGGGGGTGAGGTGAAGCGGCCAATGGGGAGCCGGGGCAGGCAGAAGTAGGCACTGGGGAAGAGGCTGAGGTCGATAGGGTTCCCGTCCAGGCGGATGTCTTCCAGCAGCCTGCGGGTGTGTCTGTGCTCCTCCAAGTCGCAGAAGGCGTCGCTTGGCATGGTCTCTATCATGTTATTCTGGAAAGCACAGACCACAATTGAGACCCCACCCAGAGGGCCCTCTCTCCAAAAGCTCACATCAGTCTCTCCCACCAGCTCTGTCTCCTGGACAACTGGGGAAACCAAGGCCCAGAATGTGAAGGCCACACAATGAGGGATGTGACGAGGACACAGGATGAAGGGTGAGATTAAGTGGGGTGAAGGAAGAAGTGGGTCGGAAAGCTGGAGGCACTGATGGCTGGAGAAGAGGGGAGACAAGGTAAGGTAAGGGAGGAAGGTAAAGCAGGGAGACGAGATGAATAAAGATGTGGAGGGTGGTGTTTTTATAACAGAAGAGATGGAGACCTGGGCATGGTGGCCCCTGCCTGTGAACTCAGCATTCTGGGAGGTCCCGGTAGAGGATCACAAGTTCTAGTCCTGCCTTGGCAACTTAGTGACTAAATTAGGTAGTAAGGCTCTGACTCAAAGATTTAAAGGGAGAAACATGGGATGTATCTCAGTGTGGAGGCTTGGGTTCAGTCTCCAGTTACAAAAAAAAAAAAAAGAAAAGAAAAAAAAATGTGGGGATCAGATGGAGGAGAAAGACAAATGGAGAAAATTAAATGGGGTTCACAGACAGTTGTCTAGACAAGACTACATCTTTAACACGCTTCAGTCGCCGGGCTGTATCCCCTTCCCCTGCCTGCCCATGAGTGGCTCCGTGACTTGCCTGGCAGAGGCCCTCACCTGCAGATGTAGAGAGCGCAGGCTCAGGGGCAGAGGCCCAGGGACAGAATCCAGCCGGTTGTCTGCCAGGTAGAGGAATTGCAGCTTCTGCAGGGCCTGTGGGGCACAGACAGCACTGGAGGAGGGAGGCGGCAGGGAGGTGCTGAGGAGGTCAGAGCCAGATGCCCTCTTTGTTGACTCCAGGTTTACCTAGCCTTAGCCACATGCAGAACTCTGCACTGGGGGCTGGGGGTGGGGTCTTTAAGGAGCTAACAGACATTAATCCCAGATGAATGCAGGAGCAGAGCTATGGCCAGTACGGTACTGACAGCTGGGGGCCATTTCAGCTCAGCCTCAGATTCTCTACTGTCTGGGAATCTGCTCCAGTGCTTCCCCTGAAGCAGATGTGGTTGGCATGCTCAGAGCTGTCAGACCAGTGGGATAAGAACTCCGAGGCACACAGAGGCAGCTTGTGTGTGAGGGCAACAGCACCATCAGAACCAGGTAGGGCTAATGGCAGCAGGATCTGGGGAGAGATAAGCCTCTGGGGGCTCCCAGAGCAGTGAAGAGTAATAGCTCCCATTTAGGGAGCATCTGCTATCTATATGTCATCTTCCCATGCTCTGGTGAGTGCTGCTGTATTGAATTCCTCAGCAACAGTGTCAAATAGGAATCATTGTCCTCATTTTGTAGCTTCGGAAACAAGATCAGAGGGGTAAAGTGACTCACCCAGGAGCCCTGGTGCTTCTGACTCCAAAGCTCCTGCCTCATCCGAGGCTGAGAAAATAGTCTCGAAACAGGACAGAGAGATGCCTCCTAACATGGAGACAGCCCAACATTGCTTAGAGCTGGGTCAGTGAGTCCTTCACTTGGGAAACTGAGGCCCAACTGCACACAGAGCTTCTGACTCCACAGCAGTGGTACCAGCCTCATGTCTTGCATCCACCCCCAGGATCACTGCACAGAGGGCGGGAGATGTTGAGGGGTGGAGTGGCACAGGGAATAAGGCAGGACTCTGCCTTCAGTCTGCTTCAAAAAGCAGCTCTGGCCAGGTGTAGTGGTGCAGGCTTATAATCTCAGCAATTCTGGAGGTTAAGGCAGGAAGATCCCAAGTTCAAGGTCAGCTTCGACAATATAATGAGGTTCTGCCTCAAAATGAAATAAAAGAGAAAAGAGTGGGGTGGGGTAGGAGATAGTTTGACACTTCCTAAGTTTAATCCTCAGTACCGCAAAAAGAAAGGTTTGACTTGATTTGCTGCTTCTAAGGTAGATAGGCTTGCAAAATGTTTACAGTAGTCTGCATTGCTTACTGATGAAGATATGTTCTGAGAAATGTACATTAGGCAATTTCTTTTGTATGAAGAGTATACAATACACTTTCACAAATAAAAGAGCCACAACGTCACTAGGTAAAATAATTTCAGGGGTCCATCATTGTATATGTCATCCAATGTTGATGGAAATGTCATTATTAACTGTGTGCCTGTACTTAAAGTGACAAAGAGTATCTAAATGAAGGGGACACAGTCTTTGAAGGCCACTCCTAATCATGCAGCCAGCACCTGGGAAGGGAGTGTGGTCAGTCTCGTGTGTACACTGCTTTACTGCTCAGCGAAACTGTGCCGGAACCCTGCGGTGAGGGCAGCTCCTAGAGGCCACGTTCGTGCCTTGTAATGTCCATCAAAACTGGCCAGCCAATGACCCGCAGATTTTCTGTCCTGAAAATGTGATCCTACAGAGACAAAGTCAGTCACCTAGTAGTGGGTTTGGGAAACACAGTGACAGGTAGACACAGGGCAGGAGCAGGCTGGAGAAAGTCCTCTTCCTTCCTGAGCCAGAGGATGTCTGCCAACCTGAAGAACCTTTAACAAGCAACACATGGAGAAGTAAGGGAACAAATGGGCCTGCATTTTGAGCCCTGGAACAAGGATGGGGCAGGGAATCCTGTGGGATACGTGGGAAGGGCTGGGGGCAGGCAGCATCTGGCAGTCTGAAGGAACCCACTTACCCCGAAAGCCCCGGGCTGTATCCCCGAGCTCCGGAGCCGATTTAGGCGGACATCTAGGAGCTCAATGCTACTGGGCAGCACAGGCAGTGCTACCAGTTGGTTCTCAGACAGGATCAGATCCTGCAGAGCCGGCAGCAGGTGGAGGGCATCGTCATCGATGGCGGAGATGAAGTTGCTGGAGAGGTCAAGCCTTTTCAGTTTTGCTGAGGGACATGGGAGGGTAAGAGATGCTGGAACACACAGTATTTCCTCCCCCACTGTTGGATCTGTCCCCACCTCCTCCCTACTCACTCCCTCAGTATCAGGGGATTTTAACCAGGGTCTGCCTGAACCAGGTCCAAGCCCAAAGAAATAGCAGTCTAAATCTGACCCCCTAGCCAAAGTTCTTAGATTCCTCAATTCCTGTCACTGGAGTTTGGTGCAGGATTTCAGCCTGTCTTGCATCTGATTGGAAGAAGTCTTTCACAGATAAGGGTCAAAAAGCCCAGGCTGGGGATTTAGCTCAGTGGCATAAACACCTCCCCGGCAAGCACAAGGCCGTGAGTTCAATCCCCAGTACCAAAAAAAAAAAAAAAAAAAAAAAAAGCCCAAAGAAATTCCTGGGCACCCCCCACCCCCTTATTGCTTTACACCAAGGGCAACGAAGCCAGAAAGGCTAAGGGAGTAGCACCCAGGGCTCCTAGCTAAAGCAGCAGAACATTGGAGCATGGTAGTGCATGCCTTTGGTGCCAGCTCAGGAGGCTGAACCAGGAGGATCACCAAGGGTTCGAGGTCAGCCAGGACTACAAAGTGCGTTCGAGGACATCCTGAACTGCATAGTGAAACCCTGTCTCAAAAAGACAAAAAGTAAAAATAAAAAACGAAGTAGCAGAACAGCCATCTGACAGCACCAGAGCCCCGGGAATAGATTTAGGACAGTCTTGTCAGAGTTCAACAGAGCCACAGTTGCTGGGACACTGTGAAAATGTTGGCTTGATTGACCTTCCTTTCCTAGCTCTTTAGGAGGAACTACCACTGTTTGGACTTTTCAAGGAAAGGAGGGAGAAGAACTTGGGGACTCTATTGCTTTGACAGCTGGACAGACACAGCTAGCGAGGAAGCACTGATACAGACTGAGGCTAACAGTATCTGGCCTGGCGCAGGGGAAAGGACTCTGGTCATCCTGTCTGCCTGGCCCCTTCCCCTTTACTCAGGCATACATACTCAGCCCTCTGAAGTCTCCGGCCCTGATACGGCTGATGCGGTTAAAACGGGCATACAGGTAGGTGGTCATCCGGGGGACGGGAGGGATGCTTCCCAGGTCAGTGTCATCGCAGTACACAGAGGGACCGAGGCATACACAGACCAGGCAAGTGGGCAGGCCTGATCCAGAGGAAGACAGAACAGAGGGAGAGCCCTGGTCAGGCTTCATTGTAGCTGCTGCAGCCAGGGGCCTTCATCCAAGATAATGTCTGAGCCATGGTCATCCGTGTGCTCTTCATGGCCCATGAGATGAGGCTCAGAACAGGCTGGCTGCTTCTGAGAGTCACTCAGCCCTAGCCCTAAGAGATCAGGTTTACTCTGCGTCCATCAAATCCAGGTCTTTTGTGGGCTTTGCTGGGTTTATGTGGGTGTTTCCAGGATTTCAGTTTTCAGTCTCCTTTCCATAGGGATCCTTTCTGGCCCCAACAAATATGGTAAGGATAAAATAAAGTCACAATGAAATGCAATGGCCAGGGGGTGTGGCTCTGCCAGGTGCCTTGGGGACAGGGGTCAGACACGGTCTGTTTGGCTCCAAGAAGCATAACAGAGCCATAGTGGAGAGGCCAATGCCTTCCCAGTACCCATTTTCTCTTCTTACAGCATTGGCATCCAATTTTTATAGGGAAACACGCCCTCCTTCTTCTCAGCCTACGGCCTCAACTCTGTAGCCCACAGTCATGAGACTGAGGCCAGGCTGTCCACAGACTGGCTGTGAACGGCTAGGAAGACTTCACTGGTTTACAGAAATGTGCAGTGCTGGGGTTTTTTATCACATGCTATTACAGGTGCCACAGTTTCTGAGAGACCAGTATTAGCTGCACTCCAGGAAGGATGCTAGTATCAGTGACACAGTTCCTCCAGCAGTAATCACCAGGTGAAGTGGATGACTGGGGCAAAGGGTCCCCATCTTATCCATAAGCTTCACATGGCAGGTCCAGAAAGGCCCTTTATGGTCTCTTCAAACCTGAGACTCTATCTCTGAGACAATGCAGATGCCTGAACGAATGCCTCTGGTGAATGTCCCAGGACCCGGGGACTACTGAGGCAAGAGGACAACAGGGACGTTGAGTGCCACCAAGTCCAGAGTGAGTCGCACCCTTCCACTGCCCCAGTCCCTGATCCCCAGCACAGTAGTGAGCCCACACTGCTGAGATAGCAGCCTTCTGGTGTCCAGGAAAGGAGGGAGAGCTGCTGAGCAGGGAAATCAGTGCCCAATGCTGTGTGACTGCTTCATTTGCCCCCATACCAAGTGACAGCCACAAAGTTATTTATTCTTCTCTACAGGCTTTTAATCGTCTCTAATCTAATTACCACTCAACCTGCAACACGTTAATTAAGGGAGGTGGTTTGCTGGGGCATAGGGGAGTTCTTGCATCGCTTCACTTCCTATCTACTTTGTGTAACCATGCAGAAGTGCTGGTAGTAGCCAGCCTCTCCTTTGGGGGCTTGCTTCTCTTCTTACTGTGACTATCTCCCTTCCTCTCTCTGCTCATAAAGGCCAGTCTTAGCCATGCCCACACTCCACTCTGATAGCCCCTGGCTCTGAATAGTGGCTTCTTGGCGTATGATTAGTGGTTATTGTGACCATTTGTCTGGGTACTTACCTTGGCTGGTTGGGGAGCCTGGTAAGCCTGGCGTAGTTGGCAAGATAGGCCTGGTCACTGCAGGTTTGGATGATGGTATTCCTGTAGCTACAGTGTTCTGTGTGGGACCGATCATGGGTGGAGGGTCCTGGCTGGTCGCTCTGTCCTAGAGACAACACACTGTAGGTGACTGAGAAGGATTTAACTTGGCTTCTCAGACAAAAAGTCTGAGCGAGGAAGGAAACTTAGAGTATGTGAGGCCCAGTGTCTTCATTATGCAGAGGAGGAAACTGAGGCCCAGAGAAAGGTGGGAACATGGACGAGGGAGTTAGCTCACAGTGAGGCAGGGCTAGAACCTGGTATTCGAAATTTCCCAGGCTGGTGCCCTGCCCTGCTCCATAAGGACACAGCTTAGCCCGCGCATGGGCAGGAGCTGATCAGGTCAACTCCTGCAGCAGCCACAGGGTTAAGGAACCTCAGCTAGAGGACAGTCTAAGGAAAGAGACAGGGCTGAGGTGGCATTTCCTTTGCGAGGCAGAATTTGAGGACAGGGCTGATCATCACCTCAAGGCGACATGGCTTATGATTCTGCTTGGTGGCATGTGGAAAGATATATGACTAGTGGTGCGGTCCTACCCACAGTTTGCCACAAATGTACTGAGAAATTGGAGTTTTGTGTCCTCTTGCTTAGTATCACATAAGAGACAAGTTCCTATGAAAAAACAGGAATGAGAATTTGCACTAGAGAAAGAGCTGGAGGCTTGGGAGACCAGCACTACTGCACAAGTGGAAAAGGACCGGCCCTGACTCTGTGTTTTGCAGGCATGCAGTCAGTCTGCTGTGTGTCTCACCTCAGGAAGGCGGTCCCTGCAGTCCGTGAGCCCCTCATGGTGCTCACAGTTTCTCAGGCCGGTGACCTCACTGGAGTCACCCAGGCTCAGGCGCGGCTCTTCCCTCCTCTTCCTCTCTTCTGCCAGCGAAGCTGTCCCTGCCTCTTGCAGCACCAGGCCCAGCACACTCAGGAAAGCCGCGAGCCTCATGTGGGTCCTGAAGTGGGGATGGGAATGAGAATGCCCAGCCCTAGGCAGTGGGCAAGAGGAAGGGCAGCTGCCTGAACTTACCCAAGCATTGTGGGGACCGCTTTCAAACCTGCCCTGCTTCCCCCTGCACCCCTAGCTCCCGCCATGCATCATACTCAGTGCCCCATCCCACCCCAGGCTCCCTGCAGGTGTCTCCTTACCTCACCTTCCATCCCTAACCAAACTACCTGATCTTTAAACATTTGCCTACCAGTTGGCCTCAGGCCTTCAACCTTGCGCCTTACCTTTAGATGCTTTTGGCTCTCAAATGGAGCCCAGCAGCTTCCAGGGAGGTAGGGACTCTGATGGACTGGTTGATTGCGCTGGTTTGGGCTGGGGTTAGACAGCAGCAGTGGCTGGAGGATGGAGGAGGACCAGGCTGACTGTCCAATCAGATCTGTCACTCTTTCTGATCCTGCTGTTTCCCCTCCTCTTTCCTCAGGGTGTCTCTATTCACATTCCTTTGCTTGATGAACTGAAATTTTTTACTCCCTCTGTCTGCTCTAGGGATCCCTTCCCTTAGACTCTTTCTGAGCCACTGTCCTAATAATCAAGCCAGGTGTTTGAGAGGCAGGAGGTAGAATCCACCCCACTCAGATTCTGAACTCCCAAGAAGGCTGAATTGAGGCGATGGAGAGACAGAGCTCACCTTCCCCATGACAGTGCTCCATCCCATAGACCAAATCCCAAGAGGCTGAGCTGAATTGCCACCCTGACCCATCACCCACAGTTCCCCAAAGGAACCATACTGAACAAAATTGCCAGAGGGAAGGTTTGAAGGTACAAAAAGAAGTTGAACAAGGGTAGGATGGGAATTGAAATCCAAGTTCACAGATCATTATCAGAGCAGGATGTAGGAAGTTCCCCAGATCCTCCAGGAAGGAGGATCTGGACAGTGGGACTGGGCTCTATAAAGTACTTTTTGGCCAAAGGTCTCATGTTCCCACCTCCACCAGAGGCAGGAAGATGTGCTTCTTGGGAGAGCTGAAGTTTCCCTTGAGGGTCTCAGGCAGGCTGGGGTGAGGGTGGCTGAACTGTCTTCCCTGATTCTGGCGGCCGGCACCCCTCCTCTCTGGCCAAGTTCTTCAGCAACGCTTCTTACACTCTGTTTCTTTCTTCTGTCCACATCCTGAATCCTGGCTGCAAGGCCCCCTGAAATGACCTAGTCCAAATCTCAGCTTGTACAGAAGAGGAAACTGAGGCCCAGAAAGGGCCAGAAAGGGGAGGACTTGCTCAAGGTCATAAACAGCCAAGGACAGCACCTAGATTTCCAGAGTCTCAGGCCAGAAAGGTTTCTGTGTTCATTAGACCCCCATCCTTCCTACCTCCTCCTGGGGGAGTCCTGAGCCTGCATGTCTTGGGCCCTTCAGAGCAGATGGCCTTGGCAGAGCTCAGCTTGTGCCTGGAGCCCCAGGTGAAGGCACGGATTCAACAATTCCCCAGAGGACAGCAGCTACTGGGGAGGGGGCCTCCCCACAATGCAGGAACCAGTCAGGAAGGCAGTTCCCGTGCCCTGCCCCGGGTAATCTACCATCCGGGGAGCTCTGCCATCAGGGGCTCTGCTGGCCTGAGAAGAATCAGCCCTGGAGCCAGGGGTTCGCACAGGAGGCAGATGGTGCGTCCGTGGGCTGCTTTTCTTCTTGTCCGCCCCCACAGCCGGCCTGGCAGCCAGGGCCCTCTGCCCCCACAGTCAGCCAAGGAGTGGGTCCCCCTCCCAGCCCAGGCCATTTGTTCCTGTGAGGAATGCAAATGAAACTGTTCATTCATACCTGGACACCTGCCTCCACCGTCTTGCTGGGTGACATAGCCCTGCAGCATTTAGCTATGCCCGCTGCCCTGCCCTAGGTCCTCTTGCCCTCCTTATCCCCATAGTCAAGCCTGAGTTAGATCCTATGCCCCAGCCACCCCCTCTCCCATTCCTGCCTGGGAGCCACCTTGGGTGAGGACCCTCTCTGGGCTTCTATTTTTGCTTGTGTGAGCTAGCTGATTGCATGCTCTCATTCCCATGGATTTCAAGGTGTGTGCGTGTGGACCTGTGTGACCTGTGTGGGAATCAGTGAGCCCTGTGCTGTTCCAGGAAGCTCCACACCCTGAGAGCTGTGGAGGTGTGTGTGCTTGGTACAGGGAGTTCCAATCTTGATCTCATTAAGAGAGGCACAAAGCTTGTTGATGGAGCCGAGGTGGTAACTGGTGTGGACAGAAGTCTGGCCAGCTGACCCTAGCTCTGCCCCAGCTGTGGAAATTTCGGGAACCCTCCTGTTTTTTGGACAACAGAATATCTTCCCCGCTGAGGGTTGGTAGCTGCATAACTCCAGGCTGGGAACTTGGCCCTTTTTAAAAGAGACTCCCCACAGGGTTCCCCCAACATTTCTCCCTTTTTGTTCCTGCTGTTTCTCCCCCTGGTCATGGGTTTTTTTTCCTTCTGCAGTCAGGGAAGATTTGGTTCATCTCTAGGAACCAACAAAAATGCAAGAGCCTTTCTGATTGATCCCCAAACAAAGGCAAAGGCCCCTTCCTCTCTGCTGTTTGTACAACACAGTGTGATTATGAACATTATAAACAGACCTACAAATTTGTGGATTTCTCCCTCTTCAAAATTACGAATTCCTCAACGGCATGGGCATATGTGACCACTAAACCTTTGTTGGATTGAACCGAGGCAGGAGGTTAGCCAATAGGCTCAGTGGGGTGAGGGCCGCATGGGGCAGTTTACATCCTGCGGAAGACAATGCAGGCCCAAATGGGGGTACCTCTTTCCAGAGCCAAGGCTCCTCTGAGTGGACTGAGAGCCCGGGGTAGGGGTGGGGGCCCTGTTCTCATCCTTTCTGATCTTTGGCCTGACCTGTAGACCACTCCAGTGACCGGGTCCTCATTCTCTCCCAGGGTCATGTGCACGCTGCGTTCCCTTGAGTAGTCTGAGATGTACTAGCTTAGCAAAGGTAATGACCGTTCTGCGTCTTTCCTCATTCACTTAGTACTGAGCACTGGGAGATCCTTGACAATTAGTGTCTGTGAGTGAAAAGAACCTGGGGTTTTGAGTTTGAAATGTAACTATAGATTTTTGGTTTGAATTTAGGAATAAATTTTCACGAGAGTTACAAATTTTGGAGAAATTTCCAAGAAAAGGCTTTAGGATAGCTTTCTTAGAAGTTCCTGAGGAATAAAATCTTTCCTTCGCTGTCATTTTCAGCACAAATAAGAGGTGGGGGCAGAGGCAGGGATGAAGATGGCTTTGAGATATTACTCTTTACCTATTCACATTGTCAAGTTCAAGCAAGGTGTTTTCATATTACTTTATTTCCTCTGCTGTGAAGCATGTTGAAATGAGAAAGTTGGTTCAAAGTTAACATGGTCTGCAAGAGAGAATAGATACATGTACAGAGTGCATTTACACACTACTTACACACCCGAATCTGTACATGCCCGAAGCACTGACCGGTACATGCAGATGCCAGCAGCACTGATGCAATGAACTTGTGTCAGCAGGCAGGACTTTCTAAACTCCAGGGAAACCACTCTGCATGTGAATATGTGTATGTGTGTATGCAGGGATGGAGGTACCGATGAAGAGGACTCTCACTCCTCTGAGTTAGAGCTGCGGAGAGCAGTGGAGGGATGGGGCAATGGCATGATGGTGATCATGTGGCTGCTGAAACAAAACGTTCAGGTTTGCAGGACCAGGCTCCCTCTGAAAGCCGCAGGGGCTATGCTCACCAAAGGGCCTCATCAAAAGGATTGAGGTTTTAGGTGTGAATAAGGAGTGGAAAGGGGTTTATCCAGGCATAGCACCAGGTTGCTTACAGCCATACTAATATACTGACTTTAAGCATAAGCCTTGGAGAAACCAGCAAGCAGCAGGGGACGGAAGCAGGGAGGGCTATGATGAAGCAGGTACTGCGTTCTATATTTAGCAGAAGAGACAGTTGAGCAAGAAGGTGATGGGGATTCTTTGAAGTTCGGGGCCCTGTGTAATCCAATTCTTTGAGAACCTCGGGAGCATTTCTCATTCTAACTTGAGGCTGGGTACTGCGTCTCACTCATTTCTAGATCCTCCTCCTTCCAATATTCCCCACCAGCATATACACCAGGGGACTATGGAGGGGCAGCACCCCTAAGAAGAAGGAAGGGGTGAAGGTGAGGGCTCTTCTTGGAGACCTGCCCAGCTAACCAGAGCCAAGTAAGAAGGTTGGAGAAGTTTCTCTGGGGAGAGACAGTCCATAAATTACTGCAAGGGAGAGGATATCTTTTAGGACTTGTCCTGCATCAGGGTATGCTTTAGAGAGCAGACCAGAACACTTGGCCCACAATGCTGGGGGGATCTCAGAGCAGGCCACCACTGGCCTGGGTTTACAGATGCGATAGTTCACAGTGGAAGGGAGCCGGCACGGTCAAGGTTAAACTGCATCTGTACCTCGGCTCCCAAAGGCTTCCCATCTGTGCTCTCTCTCTGTGGACTTTTGACCCTTTATACTCTAGAGGAGAGCACCACCATTCCTATCACCCACAGCTTTTCCAAACTGAGACCCTACACCAGCTCCTTGGAACATTACCCCAATCACCCCAGTGAAAAGACTGGATCACTTGTGACTTTCCACAGCCACCAGGTGTCACTGATGTGTCTGACTTGGAGATAGGGCAGTTTTCAGGCAGAAGAGACTTCTGGGAGATTTCCAGATGCTCCACCCCTTCTTCCCTGTCTCTAAGACCACTCCCCATGGGGGTGGGGAATTGGTGGTGGTGGAAATGACTGGGCCATCCACACTAACAGAAAACAGATGGTTGGGTGGGGCTGGACCTCTTGACCCTCCTGTGTGAACACTCTGTTCCCCGGGGCCTCATGCTTCTCATTGAGGTTGGGGGAGGGGCACCGCTAGACTCATCCACACCCAAAGTATTGGCCCATGCTGGGGCTCTGACCCCTGCCCTCTTCCAGCTAATTCCTAGCTCCTTAAGTTGCTCTTCTCTACCGTGGTTGTTCCTCTCTGAGGCCCAGCCAGGAGGATGTGCGCCATGTTTTCCCTGAAAAGAAGGAGCGGCTTCCAACTCTTCCCTGTGGAGAGATGGCCAAATGCAGGGCTTTGTGGCCCTGTGTCCCACCTCTTGCGCTTCCTTCCTGCAGAACGCAGCTGTGCAGTGTCAGGGAACAGTGATGGAGCGGCAATTTGGGAAGAAGGTTGAGGAGACCTGAGGTTCTCAGCCTCTTTAAGGCAGAGGTGTCAGGGCCTGAGGAGTCTCCAGAGGGCCTTTCAGAAGGGCACATGTGAGCTTCCCTGGACCATCTTCTGCTTCACACTTGGCCAGAATCAAGGTCAGACATCAGTCCATGGCCCCGCATTGCCCAGGAGTAGTTTGGGCGTGTGTGCAGGGGGTGCCTTCAAACTGGGAGGACTGAATAAAGCCCTGGGAAATCTTGCTCCAGAGCTGCAGCAGAGCACATGGCATTTCCTGTCCTCAGAAAGGGGAGATAGGAGAGGCATAGGAGGAATGAAAGGGAGAAAGAAACGGTGGGCCAAGCGCCTGGGCCACCAGCCTTCAAGTGCAGTCAGAGGGTATCCAGCCGGGGCAGGGCCTAGATGATCACGGACTGCAGCAGACGGAAGCACATCATGAGGTCTAGCGGGATGGGCGGCTTTAGGTAGTTCCCGTCTAGCCGCAGGTAGCGCAGGTGTGGCACATTCTCCAGATCTGAGGAAAAGTCCTGGAAGGCCAGCAGGTTGCCGGGGCAAATCTGTGTCCCATTGATTTCTGCAGGGGAAGAAGACAGTCATCAGGGTGGGTGAGGGGGGAGTGGAGGCAGGGGAAGAGGAGGATGAGCAGCACTAAGCACTCTAGAGATCTCTCTGGAATTGCATGACTTTGGAAGTGTGTGACCATCCATGGGTTGCCCTAACCTTCAGGCTTAGTTTCTCCATTTGTAAAGTAATTCAAGTTAGAGATGGCTAGTAATTGATACTGCCCACTCACTCTGAAGAATCACATGTTAGGGAATCTGTACAATAGCATCCCGCAGTGTGGAGTCTGAGGGGGGTGGATCTTAGAGATCCCTGTGATCAGGTTTATACTATCAAAAGATGGATCCAGCTGAGTGTGGAGAAGCAATAGAGCAGAAGGATCTGAAACCAGCAGGTGGCTGTGAGACTCAGGCTGGAGTTTTCCCCATGGGTCAGGTGTTTTGCATGAGGAAGGATGGAAGACGGTCACACTGACTGACATAGGGCAGGAAGTAGAAAGAGGGGATGGGAGATAATGAATCTATTGACCCTAAAGTACCCCTGGCCTGGGACTCCATTTTTCCTTCACCTCTTATTAGATGACAGCAGCCCTATTGTCTTCTATTTAGATTTTACTTCTATTAAATTGTATTCACATTTTAAACTTGTAAGCCTCTATCATCCCTGGGGGTAGAGGAGGGAAAGCAAGGGAAGAGTCATCTTGGTTGTTACTTACTTCTTCCTTTCCTGTTTTTCTTCCTTCCTTGCTGAAGTAACAGAAGAGCCCTGACCCAAGCCGAATTTTCCTTGGGGACTTTGTGACTTTGGGCCTTACCGCCGTGATACTTGTTCCCTAACCTGTGAAATGGTGAGATTGGTGCTTGCCTGCCCTGTACCTCAGTGAGAGGAAGTTGGTGATGAAGGCATTTTGCAAACTCTACAGGACAGTACAGAGGACACCAGTACAGTCAATGCTAAAAATGTTACTGTCACACTGACGTGGGGCCTCTCAGCCCATTCTGCCCGTTAGTGACATGGTGTCAGGCTGTGGGAGTGTGAGTGGGCATGTAGTGGGGGCGTGACTTTATGACTTCAACCTCAAAAGGCTGAGAAAGCCCTCAACAGCCTGCTTTTGCATAGTCTGGTAGAAATGTCAGCCATTGATGAACTGAGGTATCCTTTTGTCTGTATTCAGCCCACACAGCTTCCTGGGGGGAATGCATTTCATTCTAATAGAGTACCTGCAGAGTGAAATTAGACAGTTTTTTCTTGAATTTTTTTCTTGCAAGATTTAAAATAAAACAATCCTTTCCTACTTCTTATAATTTTCCCAGATAAATGAACCTACCTTTCTGCCCATTTGTTTCAAGATGGTAGAAACTTTGACAAACTCTCATTCTTGGGATTGGAAACAAAGCATCCTTAATCTTTTTTTTTAGGGAAGGGGTCTTTGTCTTTCCTCTTTTCCTCCTTCACCCTTCACTACTGCATTGCTTGTGAGAATGTAGACTGTTTTGTTCAGGGACCAGATAGTTTTGTTTCTGAGTCTTTCTGATGATGCTCTGCTCAGAACTGACATTTTAGATTAAAGCAAAATGGAGACTCCTAGCCTCCTGTTCTGGGCAGCAACTGACACTCCAAATCGGGAACTGCTGGAAATGTAACTCAGGCAAACTCTCCTTTAACTGTACTGTGTAATATTACAGCCTTCCAGAGAGACTGCACTTTGCCCAGCTGCCACATTTTTATCAGCTGCCTACACCAAGTATATGGTGCCTCGTGGGGTCCCTTTCACGAATGCTTCAAAACTGGTGCTCAGCTTTGAGAAGATGCTCCCTCCCACAGCTGTTGGCTGCTGAAGCAGGCAGGGCTGGGACATGCCAGGGTGAACCTTTCAGTGTCTGTTTTGCTTCTAGGAGAGTAAGCTGTCTACTCGATGCATGGATCTAGGGGCTGAAGAAGCTGGTGCTGATGAGAGGGGACCGAAGAAAAGAACTACTGTCCTCCAAGCATGGTGTTCTGTACCCTTCACCCATTTAAGCTATTCACTTCTCACTCTCCTGTCTATTTTGTGCTGGAAGTTATTACCGTTTTCATCTCACAGGTGAGGAAACTCCCTGGCAGGACAGCTTTCAAGGTCACACAGATATAGCCTGTGCTGAGACCAAAGTATAGAGCCAAAGCAGAAACTTGAAAAAAACCAGCATGGTGCTAAGGGTCACACTCAGGGCCTTGCCCAGCCAGCCAAGCACTCACCACTGAGCTACACCCCAGCCCAGTGGATGCTTTTTGGAGCGCTTCTACACTGAGGCTGAAAAAGGGGCTCTCCACCTCCCGCCGTGACCCCCACTCACTCTCGATGCTGTTGTTGTTGAGGTACAGATGCTCCAGCTTGTTGCTGATAGCAGGCACCTTGCTGATCTTGTTGTGGGACAGGTGCAGCACCAGCAGGTTGGAGATGTTGAAGGAGTTCTTAGGAAGCCCTCGGTCTGACAGCCTGTTGTAGTTCAGCCGAATGAAGGCCAGGTTGGGGAAACCCTTGAAGTATCCACTGGGGATGGTCTCGATCTTGTTGCTGTCCAGGTAGAGTTGGTGAAGGGCTGCAGGCACCTTGGGAGGCATTTTTCTCAGGATGTTGTGGGCCAGGTTGAGCTGCATGAGGTTCTTGAGGCCCTGAAAGGTGTCAGGCTTGAAGACTCCGTCGCTCAGCTTGTTGTGCTGCAGATCAAGGAGCAACAGTTTCTCCAGTTTGCTGAAGACGCCAGGTGGGATCCTGGAGATGAGGTTCTGGCTCAGCCTGAGCTGCTCCAAGCTTGGGGGCAGGGCCGCGGGTACCTCCTCTAGCTGATTTTTCTCCATGTAGAGGAACACGAGGCCCGGGAGCTTCTCCAGCACCCTTTGGTCCACCTTGCGGATGCGGTTGTTGTCCAGGTTGACCCACCTCAGGCCTGTGGCATTTTTGAAGGACTCCACTGGCAGCTCAGAGATGAAGTTGTTCTGGAGATAGAGGTAGTGGATGCGGGGTGGGATGACAGGGACGGTGCGCAGGTTGCGGCTATCACAGTAGAGAGCTGAGGGGAAATCAGGGGGACAGTAGCATTCCCGGGGACAGTCAGGAAAGATAGATGGAGGACCCGGAGGGAGCGGAGGAGGCAGGTCTGTGGGCTCTGCTGGCTCATGGGGCTGAGGAAAGCTGCGTGTGGGTGTGGGTTGGGGCCGGGGCCGGGGCCTGCGACCGGGCCCAGGCCCAGGTCTTTGTCTTCTTGTAGACTGGCCTTGAGCCACAGAGGCCAAGATGAGAAGTGGGAGGAGCCAGCAGAGGGATGACCTCATGATCCAGGTAATACACCTGCAGGAGGAGACATGGGGGATGGTAGTTGGCCTACTGGACCTTGGGAGTAGGTGCCAGGTCTCCCTGTAGCCAATCATCCAGAACTAGCCCCAGGAGAGGCGGGCAGAGCTCAGGAGTTGCAGAGCAGGTGAGGGAATATCAAGGACCCCAGCCTCTGATTTCCTGCCTGAGGCCTAGTCACACTATAGGTGCAAGAGCTGGGAGAGAGGCCCTCTGGGCTGGGAACCAGGGGTCCTGAGGCTTGGTGGAGAAGGCCCTTCACTCTCTACATTTGTGCCAGAAAACCATCCCTGCCATTATAAGAAGGGTGTTAGGGTCTGTGACTCATGGGTTTCTGGGGCATTACATCTGGGAGGGTCTTAGACTCAAAATGCAGTAGTCTCTGAACAGAGCCTTCACTCTTATGGGATTCCCTGAGGGAGGGATGTAAAGGAGGTGGCTCTGGGCTACCCCCAGTCTACCCCTGTGCTGATTCGTGCAGCTCTAATTTTTAGCTCTGGGATATATATTGAGATTTAGTCAATACATTCATCTGGGGGAACTCCAAAGTTTCATTGCTAAAAATGGCTTGAAGTTCACCAAGCCAGTCCAGACCCCATTGTTTACAAAAACAGGCTGAGGGAAGAAATGGGTTGCCAAGGCTGAGAAGCCATTTGATAGCCACCAGAAATCCAGGTCTCCTGCCTTCCAGAGTAAAGCTTCAGCAGGGATGGTGTGCCCAGACACCCCACATCTGCCCCTGCTTGCCCAGCCCTAGGCTCCCTTTCCCCCATGCATTTGGCTCAGAGAGGCTTGGTCTCTGCCAGTGACAGCCAAGCCAAGAATTTCTCCCCAGATGTGGAGGCTCCTGGGAAAATAAAAAGGGAAGGATTAGGAAGATGTGAGGAAGCACTTTTCTTTCTTTGACTTACTATTCCTGCTCCCTGTACCCTTTGCAGTTGGTGCTATTGAAGAGGGGTGTCAAGAAGAACTTCTTGGTGGCCTGAGTGATGCTGGACTAGGAAGCTGAAGGATCTTTTAGGGTTGCCCTTCCCATTTGTCCTGTTGAGTCCTCAGTGGGTCCCTGTGGTTGGAGCTGAATGAAGAGTGGGAAAATAGCAATAGACTCAGGGCTGCAGATGCAGGGGGTCAGCTCCCTCGCCCTGGGTTCAGAAGGGTCCAAGGATGGGGTATCCAGTACTGTCCCCTCTCTCAGGCTACCATTCCCAACCATAATCCCCCTTTCCACATTGCTTCAACTGGCTCTTTTTACACTCTTCTTGCAATTGTGGGGGATCACGCCTCTCTCCTGGGCTCTAAGACATGGCGGAGATGCAAGATACTTGGGGTTCTCTTTGATAGAGTAGATGGGACTGTGTTCCCAGCTTGTAGCTGGACCTTGTGATCATTGCCTGTAGCCCAGTATGCCCACCTCTCCTATCCCTTTGAACCATGCATGGACTTCCTTTCTTCCCTTGTGTGTGCCAGTGCTGCCTGCTCCTGCCACTACTCAAAAGATGAGGATAGAGGCCCCTCGCTGACTGTTGAGTCCTGGGCCAAGATTCTCAGGAGGAGCTGAATGGGAGAAGGCCCAGGAAAGAAAGCAGAGCTCCCTCATGACAGACAGAGAATGTCCCAGCAGAGCTCTCCCCTACACACATATGCACACTTGCACACACTACAGTCTTGGCCCTGGCCTGCACAGTCTCATACATACTTGCACATATACCTTATGTTCTTCTCTCATCCTATACAAATGACCCCATTGTACATGTCCTTGTGTCTCTTATGTTTGTGCAGTACATGGTTACAGGAAAGGAGAGGGAGGGAGGATCAGAGCGCTCTGCAGTCAGTTCTCCTGTTCTCCTTGGAGGGGGTCATTTGCCAGGTAGCCTTTCTAAGGGGCCTCAAAGACCATTTTCTCTGTGTCTCCTACCAAAGGGCCTTGTTAGGTTCCTGGCTTTGCTTCTGAGGACCTTGCAGTCTCTGGATACACTGAGGGGACTACAAATATCATAGAACTTAAATTTGAGCCTTGTTATCAGATTTCATATTATTTATAAGTGAATTATGAATTAATGTTTCATAAGGCCTGTAATTGCACTGTGCCTGGAATGCCAGCTACTCAGGAGGCTGATTTAAGGCCTCTGGAGTGTGGTGGGAGGGTTACATAGTGAGACCCTATCTCTTAAAAAAAAAGCCTGTAATTTTCTTGAAACTAGCACAGTCATATTACATATAAATTAAGGGGATAGTTAGAGCATTAATATTGTAAAAGCAAGCATGTTTTAAAGCCCCAATTATTTCATGACCCTGATTTTTTTTCTTTCTGGATTTCTTTGCTTTTTAATCACCCAGAAGTCTGGAAATAAGCAAGAGCTTGCTCCTGCTGTGAGAAATGCCACCCCAGTATCAAGCATGACACTGGCCCTGGTTTGCCAGTTGCCTACCTTGCTGTGACACTCAAAGCATATGTCAGGTGCTGGACACAAGTCAGGGCCTGCTCTGCGAGGCCAGGAGACTTGGACCACTGGCCTTTGCCAAGGTGGCTTCCCCTGTGTCTCGGGCATGGGTGGCCCGATCTCCACTGGCAGACATGACAGCAATGGAAGGTTAGTCACAGTTGTGCTCAGCAGGGCTGCTCGTTCTCAGGGTGAGGGTGAACGCAGACCCTTCAAGAGCTTTTCCTATCTTCCCACCCTTCCTTCTGACCCTTTCACTGGAGCTAGCCAAGCTTCTCCCGGGGCCCACAGGAGGTTCCATAGGAACCTGATGCCTGGGGTAGGGGGCCAGTGTCCAGGAATGTGGATCAGGCCCAGCCCCTTCCCAGCCCCAGGCTGAGTCAGAGCTGTCTGGGTACGCAAGTGCACAAGGAAGCAGTGTTCGTGTCTAAGGTCTTTCTCAAGGTCCACACCCCTTACCGCTGCATTTGGCTGCCAAGCAGGGCTGTTCTGACCACACAGCCATTGTCTGTAGGGGTGCTCTGGGATAGCCTAGGTCTCTACCACCAGAATCCTGGTGACAGACTGAAGGTGTCTGGACTCCAAGGAGACTCATAGTCCTTCTCACATTGCTCCAAAGCCATTGCTCTATCTGGAAACTTCTGGAACCTTCTAGAACCCTCTGTCTAATCATAAACTCTCTCAATCCCTTGGAGTCTGTGTGTGGCTCTCAAAAAGCTGCTGCTTCATGGAGGGGAAGAGTATTCTCTTTGCCTAACTCAAAATTCTCCCCATTTAAGAACATTTCCCAAAGGAGCTTAAAATTAAAATTTCAGTTCCAACTATGTGGATGTGGGCTGTAATCCTGATTCTGACACTTTTCTGGGCCCCAGGCTCCCCATCTGTGTGAGGATCTGATGAGATCAGGCATTGAAGGCACAGTAAGGAGTATAACTTTTCTGCAAATAGCAGGAACTTGTTCATTTGTTTACAAAAGAGCAGTTATTCTAGGGAGATTCTTGATTCTCAAAGTGAGGCAGTCCTCCTCCCAGCTGTCTCTATCTGTCCTGTTCATTTAAGGTTAAATTTAGGGCTGAGCAGGGCAGGATTTAGAAGCAGTTTGGACAGACTGGGGCTGCGCTGGTCTCCGAGTGACAGGCAGTATTATTAGTACCAGGTTCACTCCATGCTGAGTCCAGACAATCTTCTGACTGCAGATTTCCTGTCCAGTTGTCACCCCAAACCTCCTCATGACCTAACCCAGAGAGCTGGCCTGCTGCAGAGCTGTGCCTCTGGACATCAAGATGCCATTTTCTCTTCTGTTCTTTCTCTTCTAAGCCTAAATTTCTGCAAGCCATCCCACTCACTTTCTCTTTTCTTGGAGCCCAGAGCGCAGCTGGAAGCAGGGACACGAGGAACTAGCAGAGGAAGGAGCCAGGAGCATCCAGAGCTCCTGTCGGGGCCCTCAGCATGGCCCTGTCTGAACATCAGTTTCCTTTGCTGGAAAATGAGGACACCAAAATCTTCTATATCCTTGTACTTCCTCATCTAGTGATCAGAAAAAAGTGTGACAAACAACTTTAAAATGTGCTGCAGATCAAAAAGCACTTAAAATAAATATAACACTATTATAGAGGGAACACCCATCTCTCCAGTGTCTACCACAAGGGAAGATACAAGCAGAAGGCAGTTTTCAAGGCCTTGCTCAGCCACTCTGAGGGTTGGGGAAAGGGGGTGAGGGACTTTTCCTCTGACAGTCTGTTACCCTTCATCTCCTCCGCCTTCCTCCCCATCCACCATCTGTAACCCTTGAAGAAAGCTAAGAAGAATCTGTCACATGCTTTGAGTGGTTGTAGATCTCAGTCCAACCCTGCAACTGCTTAGCTGGGTGCCACTGGGCAAGCCTCAGTTTCCCCTGTATAAATAAGCAATGACTTTTTAAAGGTGAAGGTGCTGGAGATTGAATCCAGGACTTCCAGCCGATAACTTTTTTCTGGCCTATTTAGGGGGTTCAGTGAGCTCATATGTGCATGAAGGGTCAGTGAATATCAAAGGATCCTGGTTTAGGGCCAGTCCTACCCAGTGTCTTAAGACAGGAAGATTTCTTGTGATGGGCCAGAGGTGCAAGAGACCACACTGGGGACTCAGAACCAACTAGCTGGAGAGACCCTCGCCACCTGGGAAAGACTGATTCTGTGTACTGCACTAACCCAGCCCTGTGCTTTCTATAGCAGTTGGGGTGTGTTGGCCAGTGGAGACACAAGTCTTTTGCTCCACTGGCTATGGAGTTCCACCTGGATCCATGCCTTCTCCTGACCTTTTTTCTACCTGGTTTCTTTGTCCCTCCTGGCCTTGCGATGCTTCACTCACATGCCCAATAACTTCAGGAAGGGGAAGAGGGTAAAGAACTTATTGCCCAGCCCACTTCTGAGAGCCTGTTAAGAACCCAGAAGGCACAACACAGGGCCCTGGTGCAGAAAGCCTGAGCTCTTAAAGCTATCGGGAGGGAATTGTCTGGAGTTCCTCTGTGACATGGCTGCCTGGGCTTGCAAGGGCAGAGTCTTTTCTGTACTTCCACTCGCTAAGAAATGTCCTGTTGGGGCAGTTGGAGCTCCTGTTCCAGGCCACCACACAGCAGCTGCCCAGTGAGCACTGCAGGTCATAGTTCGCACATTGTGCAAGGCCTCTCTTAGCTACTCCAGCCCTGGATGACCCTGAGGATCCCAGAGGGGTAAAGCAACTGCAAGCTGCTGGTGTCTACTCAATGGGTGCAGACACCAAGGCCCTTATACTGCCCCTTCCTGACCCGGGCGTTGCCCAAGACCGTCTGTGCCTGAGGATGCCCTCCTAGTCTGCACCCTGCCTGACATAGGAGGCTCTATTGCTGGAGAGGAATGAGCTGGGGAGAGGGTGCAGAACCCCGCCCCCCTTCCCACCCTCCAACTTTTTAAAGATTCACTGTCCTCCTCCTACCCCTCTACCATAAGGTCCCCTTGCCAACCTGAATGGTTGGGCTAATTTCAGAATGGTTTCAAAGAAAATGTTTCTAGCTGCCTGAAGGGTGTTTGTGTGTAAACTGACTGCCCCAGAGCTGAAAATTAGGCTGGGTTATTATTTTTTCTTTCTTTCTAAAAGCCAAATGGCTTGAACTAGGGAACCTAAGACGTTTAGGCTGCTGAGATGACACTGCGCAGACTGGAAAGCTGCTCTACTCCTCCCTCCTACCCAATTAAGCTGGAAGATCAAAGACTTCCTTCAGCTCCTGCTCTTGTTCATCTACTCCCTGCTTGGGCTGGACTCTGGACACATGATTTCCTTCTGGCTCTGACCTCTCAGTGGGAAGATACACTTTCTCTTTGCTCTTACAGCTGGTGAGGGGGGTGAGAGGGTGTGAGACAAGATAGAGAGTGCATGTGTGTGTGTGTGTGTGTGCGCGCACGCCTGTGTGTGTTCAGTAATGTGTGACAGTACATGAAAGGTGCAGGGAAGTGAGTTCTGGTGTCCAGTTACTATGGCAACACTAGATCTGTGGAAATTCTGTGTGTGACGCAGCTCTCCGTGCTATAACAAACATCTGCACCAAGGAAGTTCAGCTTCAGCAGTAAGAAGGGGTGCCGAGGGATGGAGAGAGGGAGAGAGAGAAGGTGTAAGGGAGAACATGAAGGAGACCATGGCTGAGCTCCTCAGAAAGGCAGCAAAGCTGGAGGAAGGAAGGCGTGAGGAGATAGAGGCTGGATCACAAGCGAGGTTGGACAGGGTGCGAGGAAGCTCACTGGAAGGAGCAGGCGTCCAGATCCCTGCCCTCCGGGCTTACCTGAGCACACCTGCCTCTCCTCTGGGCTCTGGGTCGGGCCTTCTCCTCCTCCCCACCCTTTTGGTGGAGCTGTGGCAGCAGAGAGCCGGCTAGAAGTTCTGATCTGCCAGTGGCGTGTGCCTGTGTGTTTGCCTGACTTTTTCTTCCACCAGATCCTATTGGGGTGGGGAGGTTAGGTTAGGGGGAGGGAGGGGCAGATCGAAGGGAGGGAGAGGAAGGGAGGAGGGGGGCAGGGAGGGAGGGAAGAGAGGAAGGAGGGGGGAGCTTGGGAAAGGAGGAATGACAACAATAACGTCTTTATTTGGCAGCCAAAACTCCGACGACTTCATCCACACACTATGCCCACTAACGGACTCACTTTAATAACGTTTCCTTCTGCTGCTGCTGCTGCTGCTGCTGCTGCTGCTTCTGGAGGGAGACTGTTTGGCCGGCTTTTGGAAAACATGCCAAATTAACAAGGAAAGGCGTGCGAAGCAGCCTTGTGCAGGCCTGGGCTGGACAGCTGGGTCCAGCACTGGCCTGTTGAATTCCTCCTAATAAGTGGCTCATTTCTAACATTGTCACTCCCTGGTGTTAGATTCCCAGGCCAGTCAGAGGTCTGGGATGCTTCCTGTAGCAGTGACAATCCTTCTCCTGAGGTGGCTTCTCCTGGAGATCACTGAGGTAGTGGGGTCTGCTGTGCCGTGAGCTGAGAAGCCAGGTTACGGGTTTGCTTGCCAGAAGCTTGGTTGGAGAATCAGAAAGGGGAAAATCTGGCCTAGGGTCACACAGTACAGTGAAGGCAGAATTCAGATTTGGTGCAAGACCTAAGGTCCTGCCTTCAGTGCATATGGACAATGCTGAAGCTTCTACGTTCTGCATCACAAGAAGGTGAGATCTGGGGTCATTACACAGATTAATAGGGAAACTTGGGTTTCCCCCATTTCAATTGATGTTGAATCCTAGGAGACCTAAGCAAGTATTACCATCTTCGTAAGTTAAAAAACCACAACAGACTTGTAGTTAAGTACCAGCCCAGCAAAATGTCCTGCTTTCCCCGGCAATGACTGAGAAATTTCAATTAAACTTACTTCTCTGTCATTAGGACCATGATGAGCTGTCAAGCCCCATGATGAGACTTGTGACTTGGGACAAAGAATGAGGTGCTTGTTTCCTTATGTCTAGAATGGGGAATAATGTTTACTTCCCAGGCTGGGATCATTAAATGGCGTCTGATGTGTCAAGTGTTTTAATCTTCGTCATCCTAGCGACTGAACTAGGCCTTCACGCTGAGCTTCGTCCCCAGGCCTTTTTTCAGTTTCTTAATTTGAGACAGATCATCTGAAGGTGTTAGGTTACCCAGGCTGGACTGCAGTTGAACTTGCAATCCCCCTGCCTCAGCCTCCCTCACGACCCTCACACATGCTAAGGCAAGCTCTTTACTGATGGAGCTACATTCCCAGCCCTGTGAAGCACTTTATAAACCGGGAGGATGGTGTTTAAAGAAGGGATGATGGTGACTGGTAATCAGACTAGCACAGGGACAATGAAAATGAAAATCTGTGTCTTCTGTCCTGATCCTCTGCCTCCAGCCCTGGCGATGATGCCTCCCACCCTGCATTTCTAGACAGATGGGGCGCAGTTTGGTTTCCTTGGTGGGTGGGCAGAGGGCAAGAAAGGTGGGCAGATACAGTGATGTGCAGACCAGATGGTGGGTCCAGGGGCGGACAGCTGCTGGGATGGCATCCTCTCAAATGCCAAGCAGTGCGTGCTCTTGGCCATGGTGATGGTCAGCTTCCAAGCCCTTGCCAGCCAGTGTGTCCCTGTCCTCCCTCCATCCCCATGCCCGACCCCAGGCCACGCAGATGGAATTGGGACAAAGACAAGAGATCTTCAGGGAAGTCTAGAGTGCAGTTTGCTTATCAGTTGCCAATAAGCTCTTCAGTGGCAAATTAATTTAAAAAAATACTTCTATTCTAGAAATGTAGAAGCATCTACACATTTATACAGGACAGTATTAATTGATAACCCTGTTACCTAACACCCACCTTCAACAATGACCCTCACTCATGGCCAGTCTTGTTTCTTGCATGCCCCCTCCCTCAAGTATTGGTGTATTCTGAAGCATAGATTTTAAAAAACATCGGACTTGAGTGCCTTTATTGCAGGGCAAACATTTCCCTATCCCACACCGAGGCTGGCTCTCTATGTCGTTGTCCTAGATCCCAGGGCCTGGGTCACCTCCCTCAGGGATTCATTTGAGAACTCACAGAAGCAAACAGTGGGAAGAAGGTTGCTGGCTTCTGTGGTGTGGGGAAGATTGAGAAACTGTAGTCGAAGGCTCACTTTCAGTTGTAAGATGACAAATTCTCATGATCTAATATATGGCGTGGTGAGCATCATTGGCAATCCTGGGTAATTTACTTAAAATTCACTAGACAAATATATATATATATTTGCTAATTATGCCTCAGTAAAGCTAGAAATAAGAAAACACAAAAAATGACTTACCTGCCTATCTGTGGTGACATTGAGTTCATGGCCACTGGGCCAGAGGACATTCCTGAGAAGTGGGACAGATCAAGGGACACTGTGAGGCAGAGGGCATCGGATCATCCCAACCAACCTGCCTTTCTCCAGCCGGGCCCAGGCCAGGTTCCTGAGACCCAGCTCTGTCTCTTCTATGCTGTGTAACTTGAAGGTGTTCTTGCCCCCTCTGACCTCGATTTGCCACCTGTATTTTAATACAAGTTTATGCTAAGTGACTGCCAAGTTCTCCGGACACTACTGTGGAGAGAGCCTGAGATTTGGAGTCAGGACACCAGGGTCAAATGTCAGCACTGCTACCCGGTGAGCAAGTCTCATAGCAAGTGAGAGCCTCCGCTTCCTCATCTGTGTTTGGAAGGTGGTAACCTTGCGCTGTCTCCTTCCTGGGGTACACCCAGGGTCAGGTGAGGATCACTGATGGGCAGCTTATTCTGTGATTCCCAGGTTTTGTGCAACTAGATCCAGAGACCACTTGGCTCCTCCATGAGGTTACTCTACTATCCTGGAGCTGGGGTCACCCTGCAGTGTGGTGTCACCTCAGGGGAAGTATTTATTCCTTCCTGGTATGATCAGAGGACCCCCACAGACCTGGTGTGGTGCTGGACAAGTGATGGGAGGCAGATGCCCGGATTGCTATGGCTGCTGCCTGCTCCCTGGGGAGGGTGGGGGTTGGGGTTGGGAACAGTGGGGAGGGGTTGGGGGTAGGTATGCTTGGAGGGCTCTATCAGGAGGCTCACTGTTCCTCTGCCCCTCACAGTAGCCACTGCCTTGGTTACAAGCAGTGAGTCCTTACAGCAGGAAAGAAAGGGCAGATTGTGTGGTGCTTCTTCCATACCGTGCAGAGGGGAAGCGATTCAGGCTTCCTACCTCCCTGCTGCCTGCCGGGAAGGGCAATGTGGGACTGAGCAGTTGGAGCTCTGACCACCCAGTGTCGCCAGGCCCCACAGAGGACCCCCACCCTCACCAGCCTGGGACTGGCTGAGAGGACAGCAGCTGTGGGAGTTCTGTGGTTGCCCACCCTACTGCCCAGGGTTGCCTGGGGTGAGTGGGGCTCCTGATGGGCAGAGACAGCGCCCTGTTTATGGTGCAGAGCCCGCAGCCCCACCAGGACTTGGCACACCTGACCACTCATTAAGGGGTCTCTTTCATCGACTTTAAGAGAGTTGAACAAGGAGAGTCCCTGTCACTCACTTTATTATTTTTTGGGAAGATAGTAATTCTCTTGATTCAAAATCCAACAGGTCTAAAAGGTTCTGCAGGAAAAGCTTTCTATCCTGGCCCATCCCCTCATTACCCAGCTTCACCCAGGGCAGTCCGTAAACTGCTTCCTGTGCTAGCTCTGTTTAATGCACACACAAACATTATTTTCACTTAGTAGTAAATTTTGAAGTTCATTTAATATTGACACATGAAGCCCCTTCTCATTGTGTTTTTGTATCCCTGTTTTGTTGTTGTTGTTGTTTCTTTGTTGTAAAGTAGTACTTGGGACTAAATCCAGGGTCTTTGCATTGAGCTACATCCCTAGTCTTTAAAAAACTTTTTAATTTTGAGCCAGGGTCTTACTAAATCACTAAGTTCCCCAGGCTGGGTTTGGACTTGTGATCCTCCTGTCTCAGCCTCCCCAAACCAGTCCCTTTAGATGGACATTAGGCTCCCACTTTTAAGGCAGTCCGTGGTGGGCCTGGAGTTCCACAAATGAGGTTCCAGGCTGATCGTGCCTCCTCTCCATGCTAACCCGATGATCGCGGACCAGCTGGTGTTCTCCCGAGCCTCAGTTTTCTCGTTTGCATGCATCATGTGTTAATTGTTGTCTGCCAGTTTGGCAGTGAAAGAAATAAATGTAACTTTGCATTATCTTTGAGCTTTCTTCTATAATTTCGGTCCAACTGTTTGCTTCACTGAAACAGTGGAAGGGAGCCTCTGTCTTAGTCCTCGAACCTTTCCCTCCTCTAGGTTTGTAGGCAGCTTGAGAGGGCTTATTGGGTGCCGGGCAGGGGCGGGAGGGGGACACACATGTGGCGCCTGGCTGATGACACTGCAGGGCGCCCCTTCATCCCACAGGCCTCTCTGGCTTGGCAGCTCTGACACTTTCCAGGCTTGCGGAGGGAACAGAAACCTGTGGGACTGTCGTTTCTGACTGGTCTTCTCTCTCAGGCTCCAGAGAACACCCTCATACTCCCCAAATCAAGCTCCAACAAGGGGTCACTTTTCTGCAGAGAAAAGTTTCCTTGTCCCCCTGATTTCTGGCCAAGACATCGAGTCTATGGTCAGAATCCCCAAGGGCCGAAGCTTGTGAAAACATGGCCAGAGTCACATGTAAGCTGCTTCCATTTCCTGCCTCCTTCCAGACTTGAGCACAGGATTTCAAAAAGAGGAAGCCAGTGGGAAGAGGCAAGGAGGGAGGAAATTAGATGGATCTCTCTGCTGCAACCCTCGTCCTTTAGTTTTTATTTGAGACAGAATATTACTAAATTGTCCAGGCTGGGTGCAGACTTGAGATCCTCCTGCCTCAGCCTTCCAGAGTGCTGGGATTACAACTCTATGCCACCACACTTGGCTAAAATTCAAATTTTTTTCTTGTTTGTTTGTTTTTTGAGACAGGGTATTGCCATGTAGTTCAGGCTGACCTTAAACTTAATATGCAGCCCAGGCTGGTCTTGAACTCATAGCTATCTTCCTGCTTCAGCCTCCTGTATGCTGGGACTACTGGAAAGTTCCACCATTCCCAACGTAAAACATTCAAATTCTTTAAGTTCACCTCTAAACTCATGTCACCTTGTGTTGTTAGGTGTTTTCAATTCTTGCAAGTGCAACTATTATCACATAATTTTTTTAATACCGAAAAGAAATCTTTACACATGGATTGCGGGGAGCCAAGGATTTAGATTTTAGTGTCTCACCCGTAGAAGAGGGAATTCCTCTCACCACCCTTCTGCCTTGCTTGCCCCAAGGGGATTCCCAAGTTCTGTCATTTCTCCTTCATGGTTTTCAAGCTGCCTATCTGTCTTGCTGGGGCCCTATGGCTCTAGGCCCTGTCCCCTGCCATGGTATCCTGAAAGGTGTCCCTGCCTGCCGTCTGCCCACCTGTCCTTGCCCTCTACCTGGCTCTTCCTAAGGCCTGGATTGAACCAGGTCATCTGTCCATGCTCTAGGTCCCTGCAACTAAGGCTTTGAGTCATCTGAGTGCTCTTAAAAGTGCCTGAGGCCCCATCCCTGGATAAGCTGATTGTAAGAAATGCGTGTGAGTGTGTGTGTGCGTGTGTGCGTGTGTGTGTGTGTGTGTGTGTGTGTGTGTGTGTGTTTATTTTTGTGGTGCTGGAAATCAACCCAGAGCCTTGAGCGTGGTAGGTGAGTCGGGCCAGGTTCCCTGCCCCAGATCTGTTTTTACGGCGGACATGGCAGGTGACTTGGCCAGGTCTCCTTGGCTGAGAATGGAAGTCCCAGCTCCGAGCTGCAGCCCTGCCTACTCTCCAGCCCTTTCCCCACACACCAGACTCTGAACTTCAGGCTGTCTGCAGGCAGGGGCTGCCCCCCCCGCCCCCCCCCCAGCTTTGCTCAGCAGAAAGCCCGTCTTCCGCCTGAACTTCCCTCCTCCAGGTTGGGCTCCGGCCTGGGGAGCTGAGTCCCTCACCTCCCCTAGCAGACGCCACTGCAGGACTGGGCCACCTCCTCCCCCACCCCCACCCTGCGGCTGTGTCCTGTGTTGTCCTCTGCCAGCACCCCCAACCCTGTGTCCATGCAGCCCCATCAAGGTAGCCGGCCGCCTGCCTTGGCACACCGTAGGCATTCAGAGTCCCACCTGCCCAGGGACAGCCTGGCAGGAGCCTGCAGGCCCTAGAGAGGTTTCTCCCGTGTGTGTGTGTTCTGGCCTGAGTCACTGAGAAATCCTGTTTTGCTGTTGCTGTTACTTTCTAATCTGTTTTTCATGACCCAGCAAGTACGTTATTTCACAAAACACAAAACTGACCACGCAATCCCCTTGCTTAAAGAGATTCTGAAGTGTCACTATGTTGTTTACGGAATGAAATATAAATTCTTTGACCCTTGCAATGGGACCAAAATTCCTTGCCATTTCCTTCCATAGTTCCTAAGCATCTGAGAATCAGACTCCCAGAACCAAGATTTCTTGGATTTCCACGTCTTTAGGTCTTGGCCCAATCTGGATTCACATATGCTTCCTCTTATCTCCATTTTGGAAACTCCTGTTCATTCTACAAAACCCTATTCAAATATTACAATCTATATGACACTTTTCCCAGTTTCCATAGGCAGAGAGAGCTTGCTCTCCTCCATGCCCTTCGAGGCCTCAATTCTATTATCTCATTTACCACAGAGAACAGATACACTGTTTCCTATCTACCTCTTCCACATGATCAGAGGGTTCTCAAGGCACAAACCTAGCTCCTGACAGGTAAATAATAATGCTCAGAATCACTAAGTCTTGTCCAGCTTGTCCAGTGCCATGCATGTACTTACAGTACACCAGTGCATTTAATCCTTATGATCAGCCCAAGAGTAGGTGCTGTCATTCTGCAGCTGAGACTAAAGCAGCTTGTTGCATGGTCAGTGGGTGAGGTTTGCAGAGTGGCAAAGATAGGTTGAACCCAGGCAGCCTGGCTCCAGAGCCTGTGCTGTCCGAGCTACACTGCTGAGTGCCCGCAGAAGGCCTGGGAATGTGCAGACTGTGTGTGTGTGTGTGTGTG